TTTTTTTTGTTTCTGTGTGCGCTTCTTAACTTTATCGTCTGTGTTTTCTCGCGTCAGATACGCCAGTGCACCTCTGTGAACCATGTGAGTACATCATTCCATTGACGGAGCCGCTGTTGCTGAGGCGGAAGCTGCCTCTGTCCACAAGAGAAAAAGATAGAAAGCGAGGGCACTCGGATCACGAAGGGACAAAGAGAGGCCGTCTTTCCTGCCGCAACACTCGGTCACGGTCTGCATTTTCTTCTACGAGCGCCGCTGATTTGCATGTGTCAATAGGCAGCTGCTGCTGTTCGGCAGGTGCCTTTACACCCACCTCTTCAGGGTACCGAACCATCGTCAAGGGCGTGAGGGGGTGCATCTGATTCCACCTTTTCACCACCTGCAACTGCACAAGATTAGGTGAAAGAACATGCACACTAGCGTCAGGGTTTAGCGACTTGAGCATCACTGCCACAGCAAGCACGCGCTCCGGGGCGCTCATGCGCTCCGGATTCTTCAGCACAACCGTACGACGGCGACTACCACTACTGCTGCAGCTGCTGACAACAGGGGGCTCATCAGGCTTCCCAGCGGCCGCCAACTCTGCCCCGTTTTTGAGTTCCCCTCCAGGAAAAGGAGCCACAAAATCAGTGGCGGAGAAGAACGTATTCCTTTTTCGAATTAACAGCGGCGCGGTGCAGCTCCTTTGCTGTTGCTGTTGCTGTTGCAGTTGTTCCTGTGCCTCTTCTGCCTTCGTCCCCTGTGCTGTCTCGCGCAAACACTCGACCGACTCGGAGGTGATGGGTCCATCGAGGATGTACTTGTGGGCGATAAGTTGGTGCGCCATCGGCAAGACACGCACCGGGGTTTTCGTGTCTGCTGTAAATTCCTGCAGCCACTTCAACCGTAACTTCGTGTAGCGTCCCTTCACCGTGCCAACTGACTCCCGAACCCGACGCACAAGAAGCCGGATAGACGAAAAAGGCACAAGTATGGAATCGTAGTGAGAAAGAAGTGATTCACAGCGCGGGTTAAGAAGAACGTTGTGGTCGACGACAGCCACGCGCCCCTGCACAATCCACCGTTGCGAACGCAGCCCCACTGTGCCAAGCCCACGGGTGGCGGCCCCCACAATATTGCTCAACTTCGTCTCAAATGTGAAGAAAAACAAAAGTGCCTCCTGGGGTTTATTGTGCGCCAAAAGACTGTCAACGATGGCAAGGCTTAGTGAGAGCGACGAATTCACCGGGTTGCTGACATCCTCGCTGCACCTAACAAACTCCCGCTCGACAAACCGCACCGCCTCATGATCAAGGCTCATTCTAAATAAGTTTGCAAGGACCGCACGGTACATGGCGTCGGTGACCGGCATCCCAAGCGTGTGAGCCTCTGCGACGCATTGCACTGTGTGAGGGAGATTCCTTGGGTTGAGAGAGGCCAACGTGGATAGCGTCTCCCTGCTCGGCTGCACATTTTTTGCCTTCATTGTTTGAAATAACTCCACACCCTTGTGCCAGAGAGCTCCACCCATCGTCGCCATTGCGGCATTAAAGTGGCCGGCTGTTAGATCCACTTTCCCCTCAATGGAACGAAGGACGTCAAGGCTCATCTTCCACTGGCTAGGCTGACGCAACTGCTGCATGCATCGCAAAAGCTCAAGGTAGACGGCACTGTTGGGAGTAGCCCCTGAACGAACAGCCCTGGTAAACGTTGAAATTGCCAAATCGCAGGCATCTGCTCTTCTACAAGTATTCATAACTGTATGAAGGGCGTACGGGTCAAGAATCATCTTATCTTCAAGCATAGCATTGTAGTGCTGTACCGCATCCTTCCAACGGCTCGCACCACGGTATGCAGCGAGAAGAGCCCCATGCACCTTCTCATTGGCCTTCTTTTCACTGCATGCACGGTTCCAGTAGTGCAGGGCAGTCTGGTAGTCCTTGTTGTCATTGGCATGCGCCATCAAGGTACAGTACTGCGATGACGTCAACCCCAGATGAACCTCGTCGGCCACCGCCACCACCACCTGGGAGCGGTCAAGACGATTGACGGCGCGGTATTTTTTAAGCACCTCCGAGAGAGTTGACTGATTGAGTTCCTTCACATTTGCGGCTCGCCAAGCCGCCTGACGTAACTCCGATTCAGGCACTTGCATCAGCATCCCAACCACAGACGGTTTCGCTTTACTTGCCGTGTGAATGGCGTTCTTGCGCTTGCCATAAAGCAACTTCCCCACATCGGGGACACCATCACGACGGGACTTGCTCAGCCTAAGACCACAGCAGAAAAGCATTCCCCTCCACTTTTTTGTTTTTTCTTCTTGTACCTGTCTGTGTCTGTCTCTCTGCGTGTAGTTGTTTGAGTTGTTCTACCGAAGGAGACCGCTAACAGCGAGGAAACCCAAAATAACAGAGCAGGAAAGAGGATAAACAGCAACACAGAAGAGAATGTAAGGCATATGCGTCCCGCATACTTGCGTCTCCTTCGGATGCACCCCAAGTCACATATGTTCATGTGTGTAAATGTGTGCAGAGGTGCATCCGCATTGACACAAGTATCTCCTTATATTTAATGAGGTTCAATACTTACTTTGTGTTGTGCGTCATCTACTACCACTTCTCTCCACTTGCACTGCCTCCCTGTTCCGCCCTCCGCCCACACCTGCATGGGACAAAGGGAAACATGGTACACACGCATGTGTGAAAGTGAAACGCACACATGCACGCTACACGGAAGTGAGCGAGTGAAGTATGCCAGCAAAAGAAGGGAGTTACAACCAAAAAAAAATGTGGAATGGATGATAAAATTAAGACCAACAAAAAACGGTGACAAATCAATGATGCATATGCGCCGATAGAAGCATTCATCACTTTTCCTGACTGCTCGCTACTCCATGAGTTGAGAGTGAAGAAAAGAAAAAGTTACGGGCGTGTGATGCACAACTCCCTCTTTCTTTCTTTCTTTCTCTTTCTCTCTCGCGCTCGCGCTCGTTTCGCTCCCCCCCCCTCTTCTACCCACCCCGTCACTAATACAAACGATATGTGTATGAATATATGCGTGTCTACTCTACACAAGCTATACTTTTGTTCTTTCAGGTAACTGTGTCCTGTGACTGCCCGATGTCACAGATATATCTTCTACCGATAACACAGTTCACACAACACACACACACACACACAGGCAGAGAGAGAGAGAGGGAGAAGGGGGGAGAGAGAGGCCCTCCCCCTTTGAATCAGTGTTAGCTTTAGTTAGACGCACGGCAGTGTTTGGGTGCCCTCAAAGACATTATGTTTCCACCCTTTCCTTCTAGGGGGAGGGACTTATGGCATACACATACACACAGCGTTGAGGCTCCGCGAAAGGAGAAGAGTTAGCAAGTAAAAAACGCATGGGATGGAAGACCAGTTGGTGGCCGACACACCGCCAAGATTACCAGAAAGACCGAAAGTCATCACTTCCCCAGTCTGGACAGACATAATAATAAAAAAAAACAAGATCAACACAAATGAATCCAAATAAGATCATATTTGTGCCTATTCACCCACAATCAATCAGGTTACTCCTCTTGTCAACTTTTTAGTGGCACATATACATATGCTTTATTGCTCACTTCGTATTGTCCTTAACGCTTACGCTTCTCTGTGCTCAAAACATGTCTTACACATTTTTTATTTTTCTTTTGTTTTTCTTTGCTTTTCACGAATGGTGCTCCCCCTCGCCCCTTTCCTCCCCTCTACTCGTGTTGAACCCCGGGATGCCGGCTAGTCCTCAGTTCTTCTTCTCCCAGGGTTTGGGAGAGAAGACTCATCCCATGCGATGAACAAGTGTCGCTGAAAGGCGCAGCACAACATCGAGAGCGAGAAGTGCACCCTTCACTACGCTGAAGTCCACTAGATAACCCTTGTCATGCTTCTCCTGAATACGAAACAAATACAGGGCTACAACCACTTGTGGAATAGTGGCAGTGAGAGCGTTCGTTGTTGGGTTTGCACCATTGTCATTGGCGTCTTCCAAGATATCTATCGTCAGCGGTGTCGGCGGCGACTTTGTTGGAGCTAAACCAATTTTGGCCCACGTCCTCGGCGTCGTGCGGACCAGCAGACGAAATGGCGCCAGTACTTTCCACTCCATCTCAAAGGCTCTTAGCGTGCCGTAAAGGACATTTTGTGAGACGGCGGCGTTGAAGTCGCTCATTAACCCAATACGCCAGCCAAAGTTGTTCCGAACAATAAAGTCCTCCTCATCCTTTGTGTAAATCACGTGAGACTTCGCAACGGACCCAACATGTTGACGATCACTCAAGCTTGCGGCAAGCGCATTGCCTGATCCGGGGCGTTTGCTGGCGGAAAGAACGGACGGGCGGGGTATACTACTGCTACTTCCAATAATACTGGAGCCGAACGGGTTAGATGCCTCTGTAAGGGAGTCCGGCCGCTTTGAAATGCTAAAATTGCCGTTCGAGGCAGGTGTATGCAAGGAGAGTGACAACAATTTCGTCTCTTGTACGGACGCCGGAACAAAGTTACCGCAGTTGTAGGCACGCTTGTTAGCGGCGGCATCACCAGCTTCTAGGAGTGTTTCCATGGCAGGGCTCTGCGTGAGCAGGAGTCCAAGGTTAAGTTCACGTTCTGTTGCCTTGGATACATGTGTTATCAGACGATTTGAGCCACCGTTCATGTCATCTTCTACCGCAAACGGGGCTGCTTCCGCGATGATCTGTTTCCCTCGCTCTGCATCCAGAAGAATGCTGTAGGCAACAAAGCCAGCACCACTGCCCTCTTCAATCTCACTGCGCACATCTCGGTCCCGCATACCAAGAATCTTCGCCGCACGACTTGCCGTCTTTGGCGAGATACGCTTTTCCCTTGTTAAAAATATTGTTTCATTATACGAAAGACGCATGGGAAGATGCACGTTAAACCACACATTGTCGCGAATCTGTGGAATCGTGAGACGCATAAGCGGGTCAACAACTAAAATCTGCTCAATCAGCTCACGTGCACCATGCGAAACATGACGAGGAATAATATATCGCCCCTTCTTGATTTTGGAGAAAAGAAGTGGAATACTGTCCTCGTCAAACGGGAGATACCCGCACAACATGGCGTATAGAATAACCCCGCACGACCACACATCCACCTCGGGGCCAAAGTACAACTTACCGGAAATGACCTCCGGCGCGGCATAGTTTGGCGATCCACACGAAGTTGCCAAGAATTCACCATCCTTCATAATATTGGCAAGTCCAAAATCAATGAGTTTTACCTGCAGCCCAGGCCCCAGTAAAATGTTTTCCGGTTTGAGATCCCTATGTACGACAAGAAAATGATGACAGTACTCCAGCGCGCAAACAATTTGCTGCAAGATGTAACGACTTTCATCTTCCGTCAACACCTCCTTCTTTACAATGTGGCTGTACAACTCGCCACCTTCAACATATTCCATAATGAGATAAATGTCGGTGGGGGTTGAGATAACCTCGTAGAGCCGACAAATATTGGGGTGAGAAAAAAGTTTGAGTATCTTTATCTCGCGATAGATTTTTTGGTCCATTTTGGCACTCTTCAACTTGATACGATTCAGTATCTTTATGGCGACCGTCTCCCCAGTCGGGAGGTGATGACCCTTCTTCACCTTTCCAAAACTTCCCTTCCCAATGGTTTCACCCATGGCATAGTTGCCAATGTACTGGAAATCACATGACGGCTCCCGTAAGGCAGGGTCAACATCCCACCTTGACAAAGGCATAAGAAACGACGGACGCCCGAACTCTTGTTCCTACTTCTTTCGCACGTATATATATATATATATATATATATATATGGAAGGAGCTATAAAGAAAACGGTGGCGGCAGACAACTTCCACCTCACCTTATCCGTTTTTTCTTATGACTATTACTCGACGTTGTTGTCCTCCAGCACTCACGTGCGGAGCAAACAAACAAACACACACAGAGAGAGATGGAAAACCCGGTCACACGGTAATGCTGACCTAATAGATGAAAGGAAGGGAAAATACTCGAAGGCGTTCTCGTTTCACAAGAAGCAATAAACACACGCACGCGTTGTGCTTTTGCGTTGTTTTGCCTTTTCTTGAGATGAACGGAAACTTATGCCTTCAGAGCCTCACCGTATATGGTGCAAGCCTTATGTCTTTGCTCACTTCTTCACCCGGCGTGATTCCTGCACTAAGAGCTCCCTAGGGGGAACTGTGGGATTGCGGTGCGGGGTGCGGAATAACGTAAAATGCGCCTTCCCGCGTCTGCGTGTGGCTGCTCCTAACCCTCCGGGCCCCAGCTGGTGCGTGCCGAGAGTTTTGCCCTCCTGCGTATAAACCTCTTTCCACCTTAATTTCCTGTCAAAAAAATGCCTATGTTACTCGATGGCTTCGGGCCCCCTTTTTAAGTATATTCCCTTCTGCGTTAATTGACGCGTTTGACTGTTTTTTTTTTTGTGTGTGTTTGTTTTGTTTTCGATGTTTCAGGCAAACAGATACCAAAAAAAGAAAAAAAAACTGAAGGAAGGAAGCCGGGCTCAGCGGAGCACGCGTGCTGTGCAGCAGAGTCAATTCAACACGGTAGATCCATCAATCAAGTCCTGTCCACAGAGCAGTGTTGTTGTAATTCTACGACATCATTTTTTTTTTTCTTCCGCACACCGTTCCTATGCTGCAACCAGAGGGCCCTTAAGTGCTTGGTGATTGGGTGGCTGCGGTGAGCGACGCCCTCCTCTCCACAGCCGACGCAACGGAAAAAGTAGTAAACGCAGGGGCGGAAGCAGTGGAAGGAGTGGTGTTCGCTGGAGGAGCAGTTGCCCCTGTCATCGCCGCGGAAGTCGGCGGCACATAACTGCCAGAATGCATGCAGTCGACGCGGAGATGTGGAATGAGGCGTTCCACTGGGTTGGTGTTTCTCCAAACTTCTGCCTGGTAAATGACAGCAAAAATGCGAAAAGGGCGCAGCTTCGTGAAAGTCTTAAGCACCACCAGAAAGTCGACCAAGAAACCGTCAAGGCCTAGCGGTTTTGAAACTGCAGTGGTCTCCACTGTTACCGACGTGCACGGGGTAGAGCCAGCTGCATTTGTCTGGTGCAGTACACGTGTAACTTTGGGTTTCATGAGAACGCAACCGCCTGGCCACCGCCGTCGGTTCATCACCCAATAAATCACAGGATACACCGGGAGATACAACGTGACAAGTGCCGCCGACACAAGTCCCTCTTGCACAACCCAGATGAAGCTGCGAGCCAATACAAAGTAGAGGTAATATACTGCCAGGGTTGGAAAGAGAAACACCGTCACCGTGAACAAGAGCGTCCCCATAAGCATTTGGTCCACCTCAAAGTCATATGTGTCTGTGCGGCGCCGAAGCGGGTTGTACTTTTTCCCACGCAGCTGCAGGAATAGACTACTCATCGTCAACCGCATGACGTGGTACGGGACAGAGATGGCGTAGAATAGGAGCTGTATATGCAGTGAAACCAGCACGCTGACGTCGGCGATGAGGGCAAACGCACAGCTAGCGCCGAAGGGAGCAATATACACAAGCACTTTGTAGACAAGCTCCACCCAGTTAAAGTTTACCACAAGATCCCAACTTGTCTTCAGCACCAACTTGGAAAAAAAGCACAGCGTCATATTAAAATCCTCATTCATTTTTAGTCCTGCAGGCCATCCCTCAAACCACTCCATATATCCCATGTGCACATCGTACAAAAAGATCCTACAGAAGTTCCCAGACTTGGCGATTAGAGCTGCTCCCCCAAGAGCCAACAACAGACTCCCCAAGGTTCCCAAAATTCCATCAACAAGTAAACGAATAAGAAAATTGACGGCGCAAAAGCGTTTAAAGGCAGGATCCTCGTGTATCACGTGTGGCATCACTGGATGAAGACCACAGATGCGCGTGCGGCCTTGTAGCAGGGAAATCCAGTGGATAAATTCGCGGAGACGAAACTCCATCAAGGCAGCGGTAAAGGAAATTTTTCCTAAAACTGTAAGGCCAGAAACAAAAAACATCAGTGTTGATATCAACACACTAATAGACGCGTAAAGACGTCGCTCCCAGAAGCTCTGCTCCTCCAATACCATTTTATTATCCATCTGCCTTTCATTGCTGCTGTGCGGAGCCTTATCATCCTTCTTAGCCCTCTCATTCCCACTGCCGCCTTTAACGTTTCTTCCGCAGCATTCGAGGTATTTCCGCAACACACGACCACGGTTGTTGGAGTGCAAGAGACGACTCACCTCTGCAGAGTCAGAAGTGGTGGGGAAGTCAAGCCGTGGTGGTAATAATTTTACTGGCGTTTCGGGTACCGGTTCAACATTCTCCAGCTCCAACGCAGGAGCTTGCTGCTCCCGTCTATCTTCCTCCTTCCATGGGAGGCCGTTGCCACTGTTTAGAACATCATCCATGGAGGTGTTGCTGTCACCAAAGTCCTCAACAACGCGCCTAGGCAAGCTGCCCGACCTGTCGATGTTCGCTTCCACCGGCTTACCTACACTAGGGCCTGCCAAGGGCACCATGTGTGGTGGTAGTAGCACGCCCTCCAGGGTAGAGTGCACGCCCGGAATACAGAGAGGTTCTAGGCCTTGCAGGAGCTCCATAATACCGTTGCAACCAAACCGTGCGTTGACACTAAACACCGTCGGTGATGTGGCATATTTATCCCATAAACTAGTTCGTATAACGTGCAGATGGCATGGCTGCACACTATACCCACAGCACCACACCCGGTCGAGCACTGGCCCCTTGTCTAGCTCAATCCAGATGTCGCTACGCTGCCGCTGGCAGCGCACCCAAGTCTCCGACGAATCCCTGGCCGCATTGCCCAAGGTATGCAAAGGTGGGCGTGAGCCACGCACCCGACCAAGTACTGATAATGTGGTCGCGCTAAAAGCATCTTTGTGCTGCAACCTTCGAACCTCCACATTTTCGTTTCCCCCCTGTCTGCAAATCTGGCCAAGAATATGCAGGGCATCGTTAAACTCATCGCTCTCCACAATTGTGACGACCACAATCACAAGACCACGAGGGTTCCACCCGATCAACCAACTGTCCCCCCGCACAGCCCCCTCCTGCTCCTCCAGAAAGGGCCACAACAGCGTACAAACGTGCGGGCTGGTAGAGAGAGCCATGCTTGAGACCATCCTCCCTCTCCCCAACCGCAGACTCTACACGAGACCGCTTTCCCCCCAACTGTCGCTATGGCTTATTAACCGTTGTTTTTCTTCTCCTTTTGCACTTTCACCGAAGTCATGTGGAGAGAAAAGAAGACGAAAGATATATATAATGCTCAGCTCTACGCCCGGTGTGTGTGGGAGAGAAAGCTGAAAAGCATAAAAGACCACAAATCCAAAAAAAGGCTCACTCGTTGAGAGTCAATCTACCGAAACACATGACAAACACCACACCCAATAAGTCCCCCCCCACCTTTTTTTTTGCTTTTACATCCAGCACCATGACCATGGAAAATCACTGCACAAAGAGACGATAGGAGAGAGAAAGAGAGAAAAAGAGAGAGACAGAAAGAGATAAAGAAAGCAATAGGATCTGCATGCGTATGAGCATTACCAACGCCGCACATCATCGGCATAATCGCCAGGTATTTAGCTGACGTCAGCAAACTCAATTTCCTCCACAAACTTCTCGTAGTACATTCTGCCCCCCTGCTCCGCCTCGAAAATAAACTCCTCCATCTCCGCTGTGGAGAAGTCCCCGAATTTATCGAGAAGTGCCTTCACGGTCGACATGGGGATCCAACCGAGCTTCCGCGTGTCAAAGGCCCGGAAGGCTTCAAGTAGCTCAGCCGCAGGCACAGCTTCAGTGAGATCGTTAGCTGTCATACCTCACGATAACGACAGAACAAGAAGTGAAGAGAGAAAAAAAAATAAGACAAATATAAGAACCTGTAAGGAAGCGGTGCACCAGAAGTGAACTCTTGGGACAGGAGCGATGAATCAGAAAGGGACGTGCACGCATCCACCCACTGAAAAGTAAAAACAAAGAACAACAGCCAAAGTAGAACTCCATTTCTCTTTCTCGCTCGTTGCTGTTTCTGCATCAGTGCCTCAGTGTTACACATTCTTCTCGGTCTCTTCTGCGCGACACTCCGAGCTGCACATAAAATTACCCGCCTCATTCTCTTCATCGTTAACAACCTCATTGACGTTGATGCTGTTGTCAGTCTCCGCAACTTCGAGTGGCGGCAACGCCGAATGAGTCTTCGCCTCCGTCTCTCCTTCATTTTCCTTCGCTTCCGCCTCCTGGGCTAGTCGCCACTGCTCCTCCGCCATGAAGAGTTCCTTTTCGAGAACCAACCTCTCATGGCGTAGCTGAACTAATTGCTCACGGCTCTTCACCAGCTCAGCTTCAAGTGATACAACTTCCTTCTCACGGGCCACAGCCGCTGATAAGGAGGTTTTCAGGCTCTGCAGCTCCTTCTGGGCTCCACCAATAACCGTTGCGGCATTTTTTGTACACTGCTTCCTGCACCACTCCACGTCTTCCTGTAACTCCTTCCGGGTCTTCTCAGCCTCGCCATACTGGGCCAAGAGATACGCAGCATGCCGCCTTGAATGGGACTGAAACTCCTCACGAATAGTTTCTAGTGAAGGCAACTGCTGCAGACCATTCTGCAGTGGTTTGAAACGGACATGAGCCTCGTCCATTTCTTTGGCAGGGTCATCGGTGAAGCTGGCAGAAAGGGGCACACCCACCTTTCCAAGCAGGAGACGATCTGCTGCAACAGTCATTCGCAACAAAAACGCCGCTTCCCTAAAAACACGCTGTTCACCCTTGAAAAGAGTGCTGACACTCGACAAATGCTCATTCAGTACCTTTAGAAGGCCTGCGGTGCTCTCCATGAAAATGTCAACAAGAAGCCCTTGCTCATCCACGCTTTCCTCCTGCCCTTTATTGTCACGCTTCTTCTCATTTCTGTCGGTATCCTCCTCCTGCCGCTGCTCCTGTTCCACAGATAGTTTGCAATGCAGCAGGGTCTGAAGTCGTTCTACAAGAAGCATAACGGCTGCACTTCCAGGGGACACCATAAGTTTGATTAACGCCGCATCTTTAATCTCCTGTTCCAGCCGAGCGTTCTCTGCAAGAAACGCCACAATCGAGGTATGCAGCGTTCCCGTCTTTGCCTCATACAACATTTGACGTTCGTCCTGTTCTGCAGAAACTGCACATGCCGTAGAGCCCTTTACTACTTCCGAGATGATTTGTTGGGTCACCTCGGCTAAGCGTTGGGCAATGGCTGCACAGCAGTGCCGCAGCAGGATCGTTTTTCCTTCCTCCGCAGTCGCTGTTTCATGTGAGGCGCTGCCCAGATCACACACAAGCAGAGACGTTTTACCCAACTTCTCCCTCAGCAATTTCCGCAGGTACAAAATTTCACGGCTCAACCGATGCCGTAGATTTTCCAACTCCTGCTGGCGACGAAGCGTGGCTTGTAGAGTGGCAGGCATTACTGATTTCAACTGTGTACCTGTGGCAGCAGCTAGCAACGTCGCAAGGGCCACTTCTGCACGGTGAAGTCGCTTTTGTAGCTGTTGGTGCTGACGAATAAGCTGCTGCCCTGACAGTGAGGGAGACAACGCGGATAAATGACTCCGCATCTGTTCATCAGCGACGAGAAGTGCGCGCTCGGTTGCCCACAAAACATGCTTGTTCCACCGCGCCATTGCTGCTCTTCTCTGTGACAGAATGAAACCTTTCACTTCGCTTAGCGCGTCACTCTTTGAGCACAGGCGTTGAATTTCATTTTGCAGCGCTATCACCACGGGCGCTATGGGGCCGTCAAATCGGTCCTGCACCTTTTCTAGGGCACGCCGTATATCATCAAATTGTTTCATCTCTGTATTGCAGAGTTGAGATGACGGCGCTTCGACCTCAACGTCTGAAGCTGTGGGCATCCAACTCTCCGATTCCACAGACGTGGCACGATCTTCTTTGGTCGCGTGTTCTCTAAATTTTTCCAAGCTCTGCAGTAAATGAAAGTGTGTGTTGAGCCGCTTGAGCTTTGAGGCACCGACACAAACGTTTAGTAAAGCGGCAAGATCCAAAGAGCCTTCCTGATCCCGCGACTCTGCATCTTTTTCGGCGCTTCCAGCCTCCGTGGTGCTCTGAGAGGCCTTTTGACGTTTCTCCCGAGTTCCCATCAATGAGCTTCGCAGGGAGGCAATACTTATGCGAAGGGCCTCCTTTTCGTGTTCCGCGAGCGTCATCCTAAAATGGTGCACGCGTGCGGACTGTCGCAGTGCCGCCTCCATCTCCGCTACGCGACAGAGGAATGAGAGATAAGTCTCGTCTGTGTCGCCGTTCTCTTCGCCTCCCTCCTCGTCCTCTAGCGAGTATCCAATGTAGGGTGCGGCAAACTCCACCTCAGCCTCCTTGTCCTCGCCGGCAGCATCGTCGCGGCGAGCCATCTTCCGCCTCGGTTCACCCTCCGCAAGGTCTTCCACGTCACGCTCGCGCTTCTTTACACCGGCACCGCCTACATAGCCATCACACGCCTGTGACTCGACTTCAATCTCTTCGGCGAAGGGGTTGTCGTCAAACTCAAAAGAAAACATCACACACACACTCGCTCTGAGTGCGGGGCAGTGGAAGCAACAATAATAATAAGGGCTGCTCTGTTTACACTTCTCCTTCAACTCCCCGCTCCCCAAACGTGTCTGTCTCTCGGCGCTCGTGTGTACGCGTCCGCCGCCGCGATGGCTGTTATATTCCCTCTTCCTCCCTCCATGAAAAACGAAGAGAAGAGAAAAACACGCGTTGCACAGCTGGGAAACAGGTCAAGTGCAGTCTTTGTGGTGGCGACCCAGCGAGCAGAGAGACGGGGGAGGCAACCACAGGCACACCCCAAAATTGAGAAGACAACAACAACAAAAACCACACTTACATAAACACGGCACAACGTACACCTGTTCGTGTTGCAGAATCCCCCCAGAAACAACTAAAAAAAGACCAATAAACGAGAAGGAACGAAGAGACATTTCACTTGAATTTTGCTACTCCCTGGGGGCATAAGAAAATACGGCAGAGAAAACCCGCTGCAGCCTCACAGCGGGACGACAAACACACAGGCAGACAGAGTGGTGCATGTGCCTTGCTGCAAAGCAAAGCAAAATGAAAAAAAGGAAATAAAAGGAAAAAAAACAACAATAATACGGCATATGCCATACTAAAGCGTTCCTGATACTGCACATACTCTGTTTCACAGCGCCGTCTGCATGCCCCTGTGAGAGGCATGCATGTACACATACACGCAAATAGCATGCAAAGAGCCTCTTCTCACTGAATTAAATTTGAGTCAAACGTACTGGTTAAGAGAATTCGAACAACAAGAAAAAAAGGGGTTTGACTGAAAGACAAGCAGAGAAAAAAGGAAAATAATTGCACAGTATTCATACATACATTATTCCCCTTTGCGCCGTTCGCATAGATCCAATATGATTTCCGTTTTTTTCCCCCCCCCCCTTCCTATTAAGTTGAAGTTTCCTCTTCATCATTGTTATGATCGACGTTTTGCGTATGTTGTTTCAATCTGTCTCAGACACACTCTTTTTTTTTTTTTGTCCTTGCTTACACATCCCCACATTCCCCCCCCCCCCCTCCGTTGGACGCATTACTGTTTTGTATTGGCAAACGTCACCCCACAATAAGCTCAACAGATTTACTCTTTTTCTGCATTCCCTCTCTCTCAATATATATATATATATATATATTGTCTTCCCTTATCGTTGCTTCACCGACCTCTATAGACTTCATCATTTTCTGCATGAGGAGTCTCCAGTCTCTCACCCACGCCCCCCATAGTATCCTTCTCGCCTTTATGAGGATGCATATTTCTCTTCACCCATGTCTACATATGTATGTCTATATATACATGTACATGCTGTACGTATATGTGTGTAACGTGGTTTTATTGACTAATATAAAAGGGAAGAGTAAATCAAAGACAAACCACACAACGCAAATCAATTGGAAAAGGTGGTCGAGATGGCAGAGGAGCCAAAACAAAGAGAAAAAAGAAAAGTGAGGAAAATAGCTGCATGTGAGGGGCGTGCCAAAAGAGAGGGGAAAGGGAAAAAAAAAAACAAAATCACCTTTTGCTTTTGAAGAAGAGTTATATGGAACTCCCTCGCTTCACCTTAAGAAAGAGAAACACACACACACACACAGAGAGAGAGATAGAGACAAAGAAAGCCAACAACAACAAGGCAAATATACACAAAAAACGAAGACAGTGAAATTTGTGCCAATGCAGACAAATAAAAAAATTCCACGGCAGTACTTCTCACCGCCACGCTCTAGCAACAACACCAACACGCATAGCACTTCAACTGCCCTGCTTCCTTTTGTTTTGTCTTCAAAGATTTGACGATTTTACCAATATATATATATATATATATATATATATTATAATAATAATTATTTTGCCGTTCGGTTTTTGCTTGTAGAAGCTTTGTATGGATGTATTTATACATACGTCCACACATACGTGAACATATAGTTCATTTTGATCATTTAGTATAGCCTCGGTTTACGTGAATAAATGAAAAAGGCGTTATCTTCAAGAGCCTTCTTTGCTAACTGCATGCGATGTGGAACATCTTCGGGAAGAATGGGCCTAGTGCGAGGTCGTGGGGGATTCTCGATGGCTTTCTGCTGTGACTGTGGCTGTGGCTGTGGTTGTGACTGTGGCCGTTTTTGTTTTTGTGGTGCTGGTGACGGCTGTCGTTTTTTCTCTACAAAGGGGGCCACCGGAACTTCCTCAGCCGCCTCCTTGAGCGGCTTCTCCTCCGCTTCGGTAACTGCAATTTCCTCAAGTGGATTCCATACCACTGCGCGATGCTCACGTCGTGTGAGCATCTTTCTGTTGTTGTCTACATTAAACCAAACTACATGAGCATTTCTCAAATGCATGGCGTGTTGGACAATATACTCCATAAAGTCCTGTGGAACCCGACCGTCTGACTGATGCGCATCTAACAGATTAACCACTTGCGTCTGAGATGCCCCCTTCTTGGGTTGGGGCGACGCATTCGAGCTCGGACTTTCCTCCGCACACTCGAGAGAGTTCTTATAATCCCTGTGCGCTACGGCCGTGTCAGACAATGTTGGCGCCATAGAGCTGCTTTTTCCACTGATATCCTGCTTCGGTGATTTACACTCGGTTGAATTGGCAGTAATGCACTTGTCTGTCATATTGGGCCCTGCAGGGGAGCCGACATTTTCACTGAGCGCAGTCTGCTGGGAATGTGAGACTTGGCCATTCTTCGTTGCATCTTCCTTCTCATTTGAGGGTGGCGAGGGCACCCATCCCGACACCTTTTTCGGGTTTGGTATATGCTTGGACGGCACCAGGCAACTAGAGACTGGCACTGGGGGCGGTGCTACTGTCTTTTCACTCGTATTTCGCTTCGTCATATCGGCTGAAGACGGCAAGGGTGGTTCCTCCCTACTGCCACCCTTTTCTGCAGCAGCACCGAGCTTAGCTGAAGCAGTTTCCCCACCCAACATGGTATTAGCATATTTTGGCGAATATCGCAGCGTCCGTGCTACATTGGCGAGGCGCACTGTACGGCACGCGGATGTCACTCGCGTTGGCGGCGAACTATCCCTGCACCGTGAGACGACACTCCCCATCGACTATCCCGTCCCCTCTCTCTTTTGTACACCGCCGCTACGCTCTAGCCCCACCTCCTTTCCTACTTATGCGACCACTCCTTTTCTGTTGGCTGTCTCGTGCCGCAGCTGAGAATCACGCCTTCCAGGAAGATGGAGAGCTGAAAACAAATAACACGTACAGAGAGAGAGAGAGAGAGAGAGAGGCACAAAAAAACTCAGCAAGATATATATTATGGAACAACTCCACGTCCCTTGACGTGTGTGTGTGTTTTCCGCAACTACTTGTTCCCCTGTTGAACTGTGAAAAAACTACAACAAGAAGGACGCACGTTCGTGTGGATCAGCAGCAGTTACCTCAGTCAGGAAACCATGCGCAAGAAGAGCACGGATACACATGCTTACCGCATGCTCATCTCAACCAAGTCCCCCCCCCCAAATAATAGGGGCTGCAGTCTATTTCAGTTAATTAAACGCAGAAGTTCATTTTTATAGCATAGAATAGCAGAGCTGACCCCAACTTCTGCTTTTTTACCCAACAGTTCACTCGCTTACCTTCATGCTCTCACTTACTCACCTCCTTTCTTTGCGCTTCAGTAGTATCCTGTCCTCACTTAACGGCTTTCCAGCTGCTGGTCTCTCCGGAAATTTGGCCTCGCACTTCCTTAAGAATTTGCTGCAACGGCGGAGCGAGCTGCGTAATCCGCATCCATCGCACGATCCAACTCCTGCACTAGTTGCCGGTAGCGCAACGCTGTGGTTTCGGCGTCACGGAACTCCTGCAACGACTTGGAGAGAGCAGTACGCAGGTGCCGCTGCATGCCATCACCGAGGCACGTCACCTTTTCAACCCACTGCAAAAAGAGTGTCACTTCGCACACATCATCGATGGGGCTTTCGTAGTCATCACCCTCGTCCTGAAGGTGACCGATTTCATCATCTTCCAATTCATCGTCGTTGTCATCGTCATCGTCATCGTCGGTCTCCACATCACTGCCGTCGTCAACACCGAGCACATCCTCATCCTCGAGGTCTACGTCACATACGTCCTCAACCTCGACGCCCCGACGAATCTTATCCAAGTTTCCCGCCGTAATGCGACAGCGCGACGCCAAAAGAACATCGTTGGCAAAGATGCAGTGCTGAATCAGCGCCAGCGTCGGTGAAAGGTAGGCATCAAACGCGGCAAGGCCTATACCGCTGCTGCTGCTCCCGCCGTCGGTGACAATGTGCTCCAAGAGGGCAGTCAACCCCAAAACAATGACTTTGCGGGTGAGAATAGAGAGATTCTCGACGACCTCGCTCGCCGCGTCGTGCTTCCGTTTTTTCCTCTCCTTCTCAACCTTGGAGGAATTGACAGCAGCACGAAAGAAGTGAAAGAATGCGTCAAAAAAATGCGGGTAAGCGTTGTGGCTGACCATGATATGCAGCGTTGCTGCGGCGTTGTAGTAAAATGCATCCATCAGTGCCGCAATGATCCAAATCTGCAGCCGTACCTCGCCTTGGCGAATGGAGTCGTCCACGAGAGCCCGAAACAGCAACGAGACAAAGCGGGGGAGGTGCGCGTCAAACAAGCTCGGTGCAGCCTCTAAGTGTTTCGCCTGATGCAACATCGCCTCAATCAACTGCGGCACGGCAATCTGATCGTCAACGCCAGCAACACAGTGAAACAACATCTTCTCGCACACCTGGTAGGTTGCCTCCATGAGCTGGGCGTTCTGAAGAAACTCAACCGTCCCGTTCGAGATGAAACTATCAAGCACCTCCTCAATGGCAACAAAAAAATCCACGCCAATTCCAGAATCAACGGCTTGAAACAGTAAGGGAAGCATATCCCAGCACTCCTGCGGGATAGGTTTAGAGAAATTAACAACATTCAATAAAATCGCTAGCGTCTTTTCCATAAACTCAAAATTGTCAGGATGCTCCAAAACGTTCTTCGTCAAAAACAGCAGGTCAGGCCTCAGACTACAGAATACCTCCATATGGTGGCGCGAAGCCTGTACAATGGTGTCCAGTGCGTTCAACAAAGCACAGGCACTCAGGTCTGTGTGCCAGTACTGTGACAAATGCTCAGCATCCATCGCAGTCTCCTGCTGCGCCAGATCAAATGTTGTTGCCAAAAAGTGTTGCACAAGCGTCTTTCCAATCTTCCCAAGGACAGAGGTGAGTTCGGGCGCAAAAATGCTCCACCAAGTAAAGCAGGGCGGTTGGCACAAAGGACGTTTGCACGCGGTTAAGAAAACAAATGCACTCCTCCACCAACGGCACAAGAATAGGCCGAATATACGGAAGTGCCCGTTTCATTTCCAGGAAGGTACAGAGAGCATCAATGGCGCCCAGCCGAATCCGAGAATCACAATCCTGCACAAGGGAGGAGACAATTCGTGTGAAGGCAGCAAAGTCCTCCTCAGCAGGGATGGGAGCCTTGGAGTACCGTTGGCATACAACAAGGGCCTTGCAGCGCAGCGGGATATATGGAACAGTGGGTAGAACGCGCGGGGTCACAAACGCAACAAGCACCTGCACTATTTGCGTTTCCCAAATCTCAGAAACGCATCGTAAGTGGCGTCTCAGCACGGATAGGAGATGCAAAAAGCCAAACGTTTGCGGAAACGTCTCATCATTGTCTCCGCGCGAGAGACCTGCGATGAGGAAGTCAATAATTTTCTGCAAGCAATCCTCGTGGAACTCCTTGTTACCCTTAACAATTGCCACAATCGCGTTGGATGCCGCCTGCCGCTGCGAAACCTCGCTTTGGTCGAATCCCTCCTCCATCATGTACTGTGCAAATTCCGAGAGATCGCTGTCGTCGGCAAACGCCGGCTCATCCTCCTCGCTAAAGCACAAATATGGGAACAACATGGACTCAACCACATGCATCAGCTGCGGAAGTAGGCACTGCTGATAAAGCGTCTTGTCAAGTGCGCAAAGTTTAATGTAGCGAATAGCAAACATGTCAGCCTTTTGGTGTACACCACGCGCTCTAGAGGTCGAGGCGTACTTCAACCACCTCTGCCACACCCCAAAGAAGGCTGAAGCATGCGTCGTAAGAAAACGCCTTGCCACAGGCGCGGGACTTTTCTTCTTTGTTGCGTCGTTCAGCACAGAAAAAGACGTCATGGCAATTTGTTTGAGGCAGCCCACGTAGGTTTCGTACGTTTTTTGCAATCCATTCGCTGCTGCCTCAGAAGCTGAGGCAAAGTGAAGTTCCGGATACTGGACCATCCCGTGGAACCATGCATCCAACGCCTCTGGGGGAAGAGCTTGTACTTTATTCGCTTGCAGCGCCGTTTCCACAATGCAGTTCATAACTTTCAGCACAATGTGATCAATCTGCGGCTCCCCGTACGAGAAAAACGAGGGAAGGGCTGAGAGAAGACAACTACAAACCGTAAGCTTCATAGGCAATGGTTCCAATCCTGGAGTTTTAAACCTCTTGACGAATGCATACAACATTCCCAATGCGGCCACAGCGTGTTCAACGGAAACGCCAGCTCTCTCTCGTGTAATCTCCGGCATAAGCTGCGGAAGATAATTCCACTGAAAGGAGCTGACGATGCTGGCCACACACGTGTGGATGATCTTCTGATGCGTCAACGGCACACGAAAGGCGCCTTCGTAAAGGAGGGACTTTACCTCGTCCAACACACCAGGGGCAGCAGCGATCTGCTTATCATCTAAGGTCTCCATAATGCAATTCTTGGCGTAAATAAGCGCTGAAAGGCTTTGCTCCGCCTTCAACGCCGGATCAGTTCCAGCCCGCAAAAGTGCCACAAGATGCCGAGGACCATCTACAGAGTTTATTGCGTTCTCCAACTGCGTCGTCGCCGCCGTTCGCTCCTCTTTGCTCCCACCGTACGCGACTGAGAGCAGCTGCAGGATATCCATAGTTGTTGTCCAACTTCCCTACACCACCTAAAGAAAGCAGCAGTAGCCACAACCACAAACTTCCTCATACAGACGCCGCAAAGGTAAAAAAAAAAACACACACACACACACACAGACAGTGTTAAAGACAAGCAACACATCGCAAAAACTATTTTTTTTTTTTTCTTTTGTCTCGCCTTGCAGAAAGTGGTAGTAACAAGTTTGCAAACAAAACAAAAATACTGTACTCTTTCATTGTTATTTTTATTTTACAGTACTTTCCGTCCAAGTCTCATGACAAATGCAATGAGAATTTAACGAGTAGAAAATATTTTACATTCTTCTTCCTATTTACACCAATAACAAAAACAAAAAAAAAGACAAAGGGGCACACCACAAGACAGGTTCAGCATGACACTCGTTACAAACTTACGCCATGAAATTTGTAATGCCAGCAGCTATGAATGCAGCTACCCTCGGCGTTTTATTGTAGGGTGAAGTCTCTTTCGGCATTGCGGGGTTGAAGTCGCTCATAAGCTCATTACGAGCCTTTCGGACGGACTCACGAAGGGAGAATGCCAGTTCCCCGTTACCCCTGTGCAGTGACCCCGTAACTGAATCAACCACACCCCGTGGGAGTCTATTCCCTGACAAGCTGAGTGCGCCAAGCCCTCCATGAGGTGAATGCGAAGGCACTACATATTTAATTGCAGTTCCCACGGACAGCAATGCCTCGTTGCCATCATGAAAGTGACTAAGTGGATTTTTGGCCGGTACAAAGGGGGGCAGTGGCATGCTCTTGTGAAGGATTCGAGCGGCTGTCGGGATACTTCGCCTCGCATCTGCTTTCCCTGCTTCACCAGTGGCTACCTTATCCAGCCACGGCAAGTTCTCCCACTTGTACTCTACGCCCGTTTCGGCAACACCCCTCACAACGCCTAACTTTGCTCTTTGGGAGTGGAAGCCGCGGTTGTTTCCCTCCTTGACGCATTGTGTCCTTTCCCCCATGTCCATTGGGATCCCAAGCAAGGGGACGGTGACAGCCTCATCAGGGGTTTGTGGCAAATGAACCATCAGCGTTGGGGCCCCTCCTGCCCCGCTTCCCTCACAAAGAAAGAATGGAACTCGGGTATTCACCTGAATGCACTCGATAGCTCTACTAAAGCGTTCCTCGGTGAGAAGCCTCTTCCCGCGGAGCTCAACAAGCCAACGAAGGAGGGCAATAATGTCCTCCGTTTCTTCTTCCTCTTCTTCTGTTTCTTCCACCTCTTTTTCCTCTTCATCTTTTAATTCCTCTTCCTTTCCTTCTTCGATCGTCCTCTTCTTCCATGGTTTGAGTTTTTTGGCGCCGGGTGAAGGTGCCGTCACATCAGCCCCTCCGCAACTCAACGCTCTTCTTCGACATGGTCCAGCACTCGCAACACGCACATGCTCTTGCAACACCGCGTCGTCTTGTAGTACAGTGTTCCCGAGAAGCCCAAGCAATGCACGACCCTTCTCGGAAAGAGCGGGATAAGCAGACTTTTCCAAAGCGTTACTTACTTCATTACTCAAGCTCCCAGAACGTTGACCATAAATTGTATTACCATGGTCATCAGTGTTCCTGTTAGAAGTTGCACTACTATGACTTGGGAGAGAGCCCTGCAACGATGGCATCGCTACCTTGGGAAAACGCGCATTTTCATACCCTTCAATTTCAACCTGCCTGTTCTTCATCCCACCTCCCTGCTCTGATGCCTGTGATTCACCATCGGTTTTTAAGCGGGGCATCTTGACCGTTTCAGGTCGTTGCAATAATGAACTAAACGCCATGCTCTCAATATCGTCACTAGACGTTGCCTCTTTTTTAACGGTGTTGTGCAAAAAGCCTGCTATAGACTCGTTGCCTTGGAATTTATCCATGCTGGTTGTAGGAGCAGAGACCTCCTTTGATTCAAGCCTACTTTCGGCGTCTGCGACCCCCCAATTGTCATTGCCAAGGGGCGACATCGCCGTGCGAGCTTGAGTTGAGGAAGATTTCGTCATTTTACCTCCTTGTCTTAAATCCAACCTCACTTTCTTCATTCCCTTCTTGGCTTGCATGGAAGATGCAGCCGCCTTCAGCTGTTTAGGAGGCGCAATTGCACCGTCAGGTACGTAAACTTCGGACTGCAAAACTCCAACCTTACCAACGCCTCGTTTACTGTGCAGGGGCGTCGGCGACGGTGTTGCCTTGGGCGTCGATTTCCCCACTGATTCAGCAGCTTCCGCCAAGCAAGTGCCTTCAAGGTGAACCGTAGACACTTGTGAAGTATGTGCAGCATCGGACTGACCCCTCGGACGCCGCGCCCCCGTACGCACGCGGGCGCTTCCGCGTGGTAGTACATCGCTCTGAGACATCCTTGCTAATGTGGAATTTACGGTTCCCGTCATGCTCTCTGAGGTCGTTGGCGTTGCCTCTCGCTTCTGCATCGTTGTTGTGCCTTTCCTGAAGCTCTGCTTTGTGAGCCTCTTCCATTTTCTTGTACCCCGCCCTTCCTCTTCATCGGAGACCGCTTCCTCGCGATCTTTGCGGCGCTGTTGTGTGTGGTAAGAGCCTTCATTCCGTGCATCCAACAGACTGCTTGGTTGCTCGACTTCATCGCCGCTTGCTTGTTGAGCACCCAACACTGTATTGGCGTTCTTCCACTTGCGATGAGCGCGCTCATCTGTGACAAGGCTGCGAGAGCCGCCAGAACTGCTGTCATTTGCATCTTCTGCATCATTCACATCCTCCGTGATGAAACTGATTGTCATAAGACCCCTTTTACCCCCCATAGTACCCGTTTTGGACTCCTCACTGCTCCTGCTTCTTGAAAGCTTTGAGGTTGACATACCTCCCCTATCCCAGAGAATTTGCGAGTGACTTTTGCTGGACACTAACACCCCCCCCTTAAAACCAATGTCATCGCGCGAGGCTGCAGGCTCCTCAGAGTAGATCACTACTCCATGGTGGACGCTGGACTGGCTTAGTTCATGCGTGACTCGTATCATGCTCTTTGGAGAATGCGGCGCACTAAACTGTGAAAGACCCCCCCCATCACCAAAAAGCACGGTCCCCTTCCCATTTGAACGCCTGGACGCATTGCCAGCCTCAATTAAGGATGTACAGGCGGTTTCACTACACACTCCCTTGCCACTCTCGGCTGAAGGAGAATACGGTTCCTCCTCCTGCAACACTGCCAGCTTCCCCTCAAAAGAGGCGCCCACAGAGATTTGCTCGCAAGTCTCCTTTCTTTTAGGCTTGCGATAATCCTTCACAGCGCACTCGTCAAGACACGCTGCAAGCGTCACTATACGCCCACAGGTAGGCTGACGAGCTGGTTGCGATCTCGGTTTAAAACTATTCAATGGTGGAGGAAACGTTCGGCGCCGCTTCCGCTTTACCTGTTTTACCATCTGAACGCCCTTCGGCGCTTCAGCCATAGAGGCAAGACGAGGGCAGGAAGCACCCTCTGCAGACCGCAGTTGCTTCACAGGAAGCAAAGATGTCACTCCATTCGTCATCTTGGAATCCACCAGCGTGGCTTCTTGCTCCTCTTCCACAGGTGGATATTCACTGTGCTCCAAGCTCAGCTTACGCACAACAGCTCCTCTAACGTCATTCGACTCATTTCCTGCAACGTCCCCTCGCTCCTTTGCACGCCGCGCATCCGAGACTGCAGACAAGTGCGTCGTAACATCTCGTAGGATCGTAGTATCACACGTTTGCGTCGGTGCATCGGGTATAACTGGATGTTCCATTTCCCCCACGTTTAACACGACATCATGCATCTCCGCCCACCTTGCAAGTGTCTCCTGAACGCCTTCTGGCACGGAAACGGTGGCATCACTCAAATAAAAGATGAAAACATCTGCCAATTTCGTTTTTGATTTAGGGCGCCCTACATTTTTTTTTGTGCGTCCCCCTGCTTTCTGTGTAACACTCTTCTCCGCTGCTTCTTTGGCCATATCTTCTTCCTCAGTCTCAGTCTTCGGTTCTTCTGTACCTTGTTTCGTTTCCGGCGCTCTCATCACCGTCAAGATGGGTGACGGCAGTGCAGAGGCTTGCGGGGTCTCACCCATACCGTGTCTGACCCACTGCGGTGCTGCCGCAAGGTGTTCAGCAAATGCGGCAATGAGATTGGACTCCATGCTCACACCGTCAGAGGTTTCCTTTGTTTCCCGTACCGGGAGTTTGTCAATAAACTTGTTCGCGTCTAAAACAACGTCGTGTAGCCCCACCAGCAGTCCACCGCCTTCCGGTGACTGAGCAAACACATTCCCCTTCAATTCCCCCGCGGCGTTGTCCATAATGTTCACAGCGGCCAACTGATGCCGGTGAAAAGTGTTTTTTACCACCTTTCCCAGCGAGCGGGGGTTGAACCGCACGCCAAGTACGCCCCGTAGAAAGGTGTTCTTTTGCAGCTTCATTTCACAGCCACCATCCAAGATGACGGCGAGTTCACCGGCGAGGAATAAAGAGTTTTCCACAAGACCACCACCGCTAGAACGCAGAAGTGGTTGCAGCATCTTCAACCATCCAATAAATTTACACTGTTGGAACTTCGGGGTGGAGGCGTGGTGGACAGCCACAAGCACCGCTGAACCCGTTGGGCAAGCAACGAAGGAGCACAAATTAAAGTTGCCATGACCAAATCGGCACACCTCTACTGCCGTGGCGCAACGGATAAAGTGACTGTCGCCAACCGTACCATCACCACGGTCCGCCACACGAACACCGCAGCCTAGCCCGTAGAAGAGACATTCAAGTACACGACCCTTTCCAGAGCGGCCCTGAACAACGCCGGTGCCTTCCATCCCAAAAAAGATACAGCGATACACCGTAACTCCGGCACAATTCTCAATCGTAACACCGGCAGAGCGTGTAGAGGCAAAGGAATTGTAAGCCACGACACATTGGTCGTGCTCGATTGCACCGGAAGCGAAAATGTCACTTGAAACACTAGATGCAAACGTACACGCGACGACATGTACCGCAGTTCCTTCCTTTATTCGTATGGCGACATCATTCCCCTCGAAGGTGCTACTGTTAATGGTAGCAGTCCCGCCTGTGCTCTCCAGCTGCATCCCGCACACATTGTCAGAGTATCGATTAAAGGCGAAGTGCCCTAACCCACCGTCACGAACACATAAAGCAACACTACTGGAGTTGGTATGGTGTAAAAATGAACTATCAACAACAATTGGTGTTGCCCCAGTCGTCACAAACATCCCATACTCACTGCTTTCCTTAAACGTATTCCGCCACAAATATGCAGCGGCATTTTCCTCGCAACAGCAGCCACACCTATTTTTTTCAAAGATGTTTCCAAAAACATTCCCGCACAATCCTGCACCGTGAAACACGATACCTGTTTGACAAGCGCGGAAACAGTTGTTGTAGACAAAGACCTGGGGGGTTATTTGCAAAAAGATGCCGCAGATATCCACTTCGAACGTGTTGCCGTGCACCAAAACGACGGTTTTCTGGGCAGAAAGAAAGACACTGTGCGCAGCGTTCCCACTAAAATGGTTGCCGGCGATGTGAACCTTCCCGCCGTCACCAGTGACGCTCACCGCATACTGTTTCTGGGCGGCAAAGGTGGAGGCCTTCACTTTCACAGACGCCGCATCTAAGGAGGTGATGGCCATCGCGTTCTCCTTGAAGCCACACTCCTCAACGGCCACCACAGCCTCCTCCGCGACACGCACACCTTCGCGAGATGTTTCAAATCTGCAGGCCTTTAGTAGCGTCTTCGGACCCTTGTGGACCTGAACACCAGCGTCTGTGCTATTGTGGAAAACACATTCCTCGAGGAAGATTTCACTCCGCATCTTGTCACACACCTCGCCGGCGCAGGAGACTCCCGTCTCATTGTTTGCAAAGACACACCCCAAAAACTGTGAAACATCAGAAGGCGTTCCAGCAATAAAAAATTCTACAGCAGTACCGAGGTGCTGCGCGATGCATCGTGTCATCTTCACGGCAGACCTCGCACGCACCCCAACTGGGGCATGCTCTACGACGCAGTCCTGCAACTCAGGCATAGAACCGGCGTGCACCTCTAGGTTTGTCTCCGCGTTGTGCGTAAAGTGGCAGGCTGACAGCAGCGGACGAGAGTTTCCGCTGCAAAGCACCCCTGTTGCAACATTGTGGGCAAATGTACACCCTTCAAAGTGCACACACGCCTCCAACACAGCTCCACCCTTTGCATTTTGTAGCACCTCAAAATTTTGGAAGGTCGGAAGCTTCTTTGGTTCCTCCTGCTCTGTCCCTTCCTTCGCCTCCGCTTCGTCCACATCAACGGCACTATCCACCTTTACGCCGCAGCCACCCGAGTCAGTAATAGTCAAGCAGGTGAGCACAGAGTTGCTTGAAGGCCGACCAAGCAGAAGTACACCGCATTCCACGGAGCCGCGCACAACGGTCGAATCAATTGTCACGGTGCTCCCACGCTGCAAAATAATTCCCTTTGCGCATTCGACGACCCTCGTGCAGTTTACGACACCAGAGCCACAAGCTTCAAACAAGATACCGGCCTCCGTGCATCTTTTGATGGTTACCTGAGAGAGCGTAGGCAATGCCGATGCGGCGCCATCGTTCATAGTGAGAGTATTGCTTGCTGTGTTATGGGTGCTGCCGCATTCGTTAAATGTAGTACGACTCTGCCGGGAAGATGTCATGTCCTTCTCAGAGCTGAAGCAGACACCAGTGCCACAGTCATCGACGGTTGAGTGCTCCACCATTAAGTGCGACTTGGCGGAGGATGTCACACCGACACAAGGACACCCGGAAACGTCGCAGCGCGAGAGCAACACCGCTCCGCCTTCCTGCACCACGACACCGCGTCCCTGTTCTGGAGCACGGGCACTGATTTTGCACAACTCAAGGCGTACGATGCCCTGCCTCACACTTGACACACCCACCTCGCAAAGACTTCCATCAATGGTGCAGTTTATAAACCTCGGCTCACATGTAGCCCCTATATTTGACAATGCACCGACCGCATTCACACCCCGGCACTGTTCCGAGATGCTGCAGTGCTCAAATACCACCGCACCTGCTTGCTCCATCCGGATGCCATCAACCTTACTGCCCTTAATGATGCATTGCTCAAAGCGACATTCCCCCCCGTTTTGCACAAGCACGCCAGCCACTCCAGCGTCCTCAATGGTAACATGGCTTACCGTCACAGCAGGAGTTGGACCCTTGACTGCCACACCAAACTGTTTTGATTTGAAAATTTTAATGGCCGTAAAGTTGGCATGCACATCATTCATAATACACAGCCCTACAGTGCAATTGATGAGACAATGATCACGTACCTGCGCCGTGGCACTGGTGTGGGCATATATCCCAACCTCACTCTCCTCAATAACGTTGTCACGTATATCACCAGCAGAGACGAGTTCAATTCCACGTTTGGCAGCTACGATGGTGTTACCTTGCACAGTGACAGCTCCATTAGAGTTGCATGCCACCCCAAAAGCTTTACAGAGGCGTATTTCATTCTCATCAATAACACCGGTGGAGCCCCGCGTGAACTGAACCCCGTAAACAACTCGCTCCATGTAACAGCAGAGCACTTTGCACTGCGTCCCGATGCCATCCACATGAATGACGCCAGCGTTAACATTTTTGAAATTGTTCTTCTCAATAACAGCTGTGGCACCAGAGCCAATCTGAATGCTAAGCGCGGTAAAGTCCGTCATGGTGTTTCCATTAACTGTGACTGTGGAATGCTCAGTGGCGCTCACCGCCATTGCACTCATCTCACGAAAGCAATTGTTACTAACAACAGCGCTGCTTCCCTCTCCCTCCACAACCACCCCATATTGACCAAGTGTAATATCATTTCCTCTCGCCTGCAAAGAGCCACCCGTTTTTACATACATCGTTTCCCCAAAGGAACTCATACTGTTATTTTCAAAAATAGCACTTCCTCCATCCTCCACCAATACGCCTTCGACTGGGCCAGAGTACATGACATTCTCAAACACTGTACACTCACTATGGCTTGCCACCACCACGGAGGCGCAGGAGCTGCCTTCAATAGTGTTGTTACGCAAAGTCGCCTTGCTGCGTCCCGTGAGAACCACATGGTGTACAGAGGACTCCCGCAGGGCGTTCTTCTCCGCCACAATGCAACTTCCCTTTCGTAGGAAAACACTAGTCAAGGTCCCATCAATGAGATTCGACCGTAGCGTCACATTCGAGCCTTCTTGCGCAAAAACCCCGTACATACCAGTTTTGCACCCGTGTACGACATTATCTTCGATGACGACTGCACCACGACGCAGCACAGAGAACGCGGCCACGCGGTTACCAGTTAACGTGTTCTTTGTAATGGTACTAGCTGCACAGTTTCCAAGCAGAGTAATGCCTACGGAACTCTCCTCGATGCTGCACCCGCTAATCCCAATGGCAACGTGATCAACGATAATGCCGTAGTGAACATTTTTGTACAACTCACACTGTTGTAACACCACAGAATGGGACTTCTCAGCAGTAACGTGACAGGAAGCCGTGGAAGACACATAGATGCCCCCACCGCACATCTGAAACTCATTCTTAGCGGCAACCAATGATGCCCCCTCCCCAACGACAAGCCCCCAGGCGGAGCATCCAATAACACGATTGTTGCAAAAGCACTCCTTTGGCAGATTACAGTCCTTAAAGTAAAACCCAGTGACACCGTTACAAAGCAAATTTCCAGTCATAAAAGGCGTTGCCCCATTCATGACACTCACAAGAGACTCCCGTCCACCTGAGTTGTCCTCGTACAACATCTGAGGAAAATGCACCGAGGTGGGGTCCATACCTTCCTGGTTTGCCTTATCATCACCACCCCGAATGATATTCTCGCAGAAGACAGGTTCACACACACCACACAGTCGAGCGCTAATAACCACCGCTACATTCTTCTGCCCCTGCTTCAGTGAGATGCAGTTTTGGCGTAGCTCGGGATTTGCCCGCGTGTTGATGTAGACACATTGCTCGTTGTGGTAGCTAATATCATTACTCACGTAGACGCCGCCGCTGCTTTCGGTGATAGACAAACCGCACCCATAGTCTGAATTGCAGATGTGACAATGCAAGATCCGCGGTGTGGCGTCACGGACAACGTGCACAGAAGAAATTTCACAGTCCCGGATAAGTGGACTGCCGCGTTCAATCAATATGCCTTGACTATCGGAGGCTTTTGTTCCTTTTGCCAGGATGCACAATTTCTCCACAAGAACTGGGTCATCAGTAGTGATTTTCAAGCATGGACCCCGCGAAACAATCACAGGCGGCTCTCCGTCATTTGCGCTACACAGCTCGACGGAGTGGCTAATTGTCAACGCCTCAAAGTACCTCCCGCTCTCCACTTCAATGCGATCGTAGGGGCGCGAGCTGCGAATGGCATCGGATATTTGGCGAAATGACGCCGTAACACTTTTCCCAACGCGTATGCGCCGGGCCTGTCGCCCAGAGAAGTTGCTTACATACTGTGTGAATGCATCTGCCGCACCCGTCAACATGCCGCGCATGGGTTCAAGCACTGGCACAATGAAGTTGTTGTGCCGAGCGATGCTGGAAAGCAGACTGCAAATGCAATAAATGCACACAACCCAAGACGGGGTGCCTGCCAAACCCCACGCACGGAAATATATATATATATATTTTTTTGATGGTATAGAAGGCGTATATCTTTTCCTGCGTGAGAGTGAGGGAGAACGCAAGGCAACAGGCAGGGTACAGCCACTTGGTGGGGCGGGGTAGAGAGAAAAAGGAAGGAAAGATAAATACCATTCGCGCCACACTGACCAAAGAAAACAATAAAAACAATGCCCTCGAACAGAATTTCGTTCCTATTTTTTGTTTTATTGATCTTCTTTTTGCTTGCTATTGGATATCCTGCTCGCGTTAGCTGAGCTTGTCATCTCCGTATTGGCGAAAAATCTTAGCATCTAGTAGTGCGTGGGAGGTGAGATAGGATAGAGTGAAGCGCCAAAGTGCGTTTTGCTTGCTAGTTGACATGGAGATGGCTGGCGCTGGTATCCCAGTAAAAAAGAGTGAGTTGACCCAGAATCCCACCCTCGCCTCAGCATTCTTCTGCAGTGCGGTAAAGGACGCCGCCTGGTCGTCTCCCATGCGAAAAAAGTGCCCGTTCGTGTCGTCTAAACGTTTGCTGAGACAGAGGTCCGTGACGTACAGCGCGGTTATGGCAGGAGAAAGTCTCAACAAGGCGCCAATACTACTGTCGAGGACACCTGCAAGCGGCAGCCGGCTGTTGGCAATCATGCGGCTGCGGGTGGGCCCGGGGTGGAGCACGTTGACCGTGCAGAAGGGGGCAAGCCGACGATCGCGTTCTACGTACCGACTCAGTGCAAGGGCAAAGAGAAGTCTACACATCTCTGCCCGACTCCATCCGTCATAGCGGTTAAATGTGGAGCAAAATTCAGCTTCCTCGTCGTCTTCGTAGGAATGAAACATATCCTCCTGCGTAGGATCTGTGACCCGAGGGAAGGCGCACGAAACAACAACAAAACGCCAACGCGGTCGAGCTGAGGTGCACACTTTCAACTGCTGAATGCGATGCTGCAGCAACCGAAGCATTAACAGGCCGTGACCCAAGTGTTGTGCCGCAAACTGCTCTTCCAGCCTCTGCGGCGAGAGGCGAGGCGGCGTTGCCATACAACCTGCACCGCAGACAACTACGCGAATGTTCGCATCACGCAGAAGGACGGTACAAAGGTTGCTCACGGCAACGGTGTCGCTCATGTCACACACATGAGCAATAAGGCGTCCAGTCTTCCCTACCCACCCTTTATGAAGCTTACACTGCCGCTCCACGGCAAACTGCATCTTCCGCTCTGCGCAGCGCACAGATTGGAGGGTGCGACAGACACCATGGACGTTAAAGCCACATAAAATTAGGTTCAGTGCAACATAGAAGCCTATCCCTCCGTACGAAACCCCTGTAACAATGGCCGTGGGCTGAGCCCGGCCGAAGTCCAACCCCATCCACAAAGCTCGATCCAAAAAAGGCTCATTAAGCGCCAGAATCATGTCTGCCGAGCTGAGGCGGCTGTGCCGCGGCGATTGAGGCGCCAATTGCATGACAAGATCGCGCCGCCCCATCGATGGTTGACGGTCACATCTTCGCCTCCATACAAAACCAACGCGGACGCACATGATGTAGAAATCCACCAAAGCCACTAAAATGCCACGTAGGACAAAACAAACATATCCAATTATTGCTGCGAGAAGGTGCATAAGCCACAAACTCCACAGGTGTGCGCCACTTGCAGCGCGGTCCCGTGCCCCTAACTACTACCCCCCGGAGAAGGAAGGGGGGGGGGGGGAAATAAGGTGGCAACACACGCACACGCCTTCCTTCAAGAGCCTAAGACATCAAACCAGCAAAACAACAACAAAAAAAAATAACATCAGAGAAACAAAACGATAAACATACGCACACACAGTCGGAAAAAAAGAAAGTCTTAATAATAAACAAATATGCGTCCCCCCCCCCTCTCCGTGTGATTGGGAATGTCTAGGCAAGTCCGTAGGCATACACGCATGCGTAGTTAATAAGCAGATATAAGTGCATTTAAATGGAATGTTTCTTTTCTTTTTTCTTTTCTGAGAGGCCCAACTGACGAGTAGCACAACCAAAAACCTCCATTCTTTCCGCAACAAGCATCATCAGCAGAGGCGTCCTTTAAACAGTAAAAAAAAAAGGTGATATTCCCCTTACTCAACTCAATCCATTCATCAATCCACCTATAAAGATGTGTGGAAAACGGAGAGACAGAGTCTCCTCCGTCGTTTTCCTTTAGGCATCCATCCAGACGATTTCTTCAGGAGATGCACGGTGTGTGATGGGTAGTCGATCACCCACACAATTATCGTGCTGCAGCATGTCCAGAACTTGTTTCCAATGCTGCGAGTGCTGCAGCAGCGCGTCGCTACCAACCATGACCATCGCAAACCGTGCACGACTGCAGGAGACGATCATGCGATTTCGCATCCGCAGAAATTCAGTCAGACGTTCCGTTCGCACCAAGGAGAGAATCACAACGTCGTTCTCATCCCCCTGATAGAGGTCCACCGTACTTACGGCAACCTCGCTAAGGGCGCGTAAGCGCAATGAGGTGCGTAGCATCCGACACTGGCCGAGGTAAGGAGTTATAACTGTTATAGACTTCTGATGCACCCCCTCCGATGTTAAGTGCGTCACAAGCTTGAGCACCATTTCCACCTCCTTAATGTTGACCTTGCTGCGGCTGCCCGACGGCTCCTCTTCTGGGTGTCTGTGACGCCAGAAAAACACACGCTTTGCCAGGCCAGGTAGGCAGTCAATGTACTTCATACCCGTAGCCGAGATGAAGGGTCGGGTGAGGAGACCTGCATTGTCCAGCAGGGATTGCGTGTCGTAAAATGGCCGCACCAGCCGTGAGATGAGCGGGTGCATGCGTCGTTGCTCCGTCAGGCAAATGGGTTTAATGCGTCTCGCGAGGCGTTCGAAAAGGGACATATTAAGCTTATTCACTTTCTCATACATAAATGTCTCAACCTTAGGCTGCAGTTGGTAGTGATCCCCAATCAGCACAATCTGCTGCAGAGAATCGGTCATACATGCAAGCAGCTGCGACTCGAGAACCTCGGCAGCCTCTTCCACCACCAGAACACTCGGACGTAGTGAGCGTAGCAAATTTTGGTTTTTAGCACAACCAGTGGTGGTGAGGCCAACCACGTCTGCCCCCTGAAGCAACGCCAACTTAACCTCATCCATTGCATGGTTACGTATCGTCACAAGATTCATGATGGCATCCATAATCAACTGACAGTCCCGTGCCTTGGCGGAGATGCAGTCACGTATAAGAAAGGCATAATACTCGTGACGGAGTACAGGGTCAAGACTCCACAGTGAAAGTAGTTCCTCTGGTACACCTTCAGGGGACTTGGGTGGATGCTTTGCCAACTCCATCGCCTCAGCTGAGAGGTACATTGTGGGGAGTGCGTCGTTAAAATCACAATTCTCCTCTTCCCGCCGCATCTCCTGAAAGACGCTAAGCGGTCCGCCGCCATCTTCGTCTGCTTCGGTGGTCCCCGAAGACTCAGCGGCCGCCGTGGGACGCTTTTGCGCCTCCTCCAAACATGCGGACAGCTGCGTTCGAAGGAGGTCAAGAAACAACGTCCGCTCTGCAGTGCGGGTGGAGGTGCCGATGTACTGCTTCCCCTGAAGCCACTCGTCGCGGTCCTCGTAGCGCAACGACTTCCGCTGCTCTTCGGTTAGCCACCTCTCAAAAAGGGACTTGGGCACTCGCCCGGATTCCAAGTAGTGAATTTCCTTAAGTAGGCGTTCTAGTCGCTGATTCATGAGAAACAAACGCTCCTTAAGGCTGTTAAGAGCCGCCTTTTCAGTCTTCGTCCGGAGTAAGGTGCCAAGATTGTAGGCATCAAGCATCGATTCGCGGGAACGACCACCAATACGCACAACACGCTTGCCACGTGGAAAAAGTTCGGAAAGGCTCCCAGAAGATCCCCCAATCAGCTGTTGCATAATGCGAGGTCTCTCATCGTCCCACAATCCACTCCGCAACAAGTCAGCGAGAAATTCATCAAGAGCGTGGTTCTTGTATGTGATGATAACAATGGGCCCAACTTTGGGTAACATCTCCTCCACAGCTGTAGAGCGAAGCTGATCCACATCAATGGAGCGAAGGATATCTCCCGACGCCACCAGTTGCTTGTAGCGAATGTATACCTCCACCACACGACATCCAATAAAGGACTTGCCTGTGCCAGGAGGTCCCTGCACCAGCAGAATACCTGATGTGGGAAGGCAGCGCATCACCTCCTTCTGACCCGCATCAAGCGTAAAGCGATCATTAACCGTGTCAATCAGTTCAAAGAAGGAGGACTCACAGTGGGGCGGTACATAAGAAACAAGATCCCTCGGGTTCTTGAGGTTCCCTTTTACTGACACAAGCGGGTTTGCGGCGGCCTCCACACTCACTAGTGTGGATGCTAAAGGAAGAGGCATTGCAAGCGGACCAAGAAAGGCGCCCAACGCCTTCATGATACTTTTGTACCCTATCATGAAGATGGATGTTGTCAATATGCAGGAGTGATCGGTTTTGCCAAGTCGTTCATTGCGCCTCAGATTTTCAATTAAAGTATCAAAGCGTACACTCGACTCACAGGGTGCCACAACAATCAAGCCTCCAGCCAGAAATTGTGCGTTGCACGAGGTCACAATACCCCAAAATATTTCCTCTGCGGAAATAACACTACGGTCGAGACCCGTCGTAATACACACAGTTATACCGGGAAGAAGTTGTGAGGAAACGTCTGCCATTGCACTTTTCGGTTGTACATGTAATATGTAGCTGTCAGGTGAGGCGTAATCCTTGTCTCGTGTTAACACACGACCCATGAAGCGAACTCTGTCAAAAACCCGCGCATATGGAACCTCCGCCATAGTTTCAGCTGTCGGCTTATAGTGAGGAAGTTCATAGCTTACCGCAGGAAGAAGGCGACTCACCGACTCAAAAGTGTCAGCGCGTAGGAGGCGGCACTGATCTGTGATAAAGGTCTCTGTAGAGTGGTACTCCGTGGCACCATTCACAGGGAGATTATTGGGAGTGAAAATGGAGTGAGGGTCAGGTGGAGGAACGGCAAACTCGTCAGCGATGGGAATGAGAAGAGTTGCCACCTTCTCCCACCGCTGGCACTGCAAGCGCCGTAGAGCGGCTTCTATCTTCTTCTTTTTGGCTGCTACTACTACTGCTTCCACACCACTGCCACCAACTCCTCCTCCTGACGTCGCTGCTTTTGTTGCTACGCCGGTGGAGGAAGAGGCAGTAGTGTGACTCTCTGTCAGCAAAGACACCAGCGTCGCCTCCACCTCCCCAATGAGGTCGGTGGTGGCATCCGTGTGGTGTCGAAGAAGCAGAATAAGGTTTACCACTTCTACCCACCGCTCCACCATCATTGGCATGTCGTCCTCGAGTTTCAGTTCCCTACTCTTCATGAGCGCGTCAAGCAGCATTGTGGGGACGAACGGGGCAACATCCGCCTTTTTTGAAGCACGCAGCATCAACCAGAGGAACGACTCAAGCAACGGGATATGAATAGGTTCGCGATTGCCAACAAAGGTAGTGAGTTCCACAAGCGTATGCACCGCATCGACGAAGGCGGAGGCTGGCATACCACGCACCAAACCCAAAACTACAGGCCACTCATGTGTATGCGTCATAATTGTCTTAATGACGTTTATGGGTTGTGTTGCAACCTTGCAGCGCTGAAGAAACTTTTGCACATCCTCCAGCGTGATGTTAGGCCTCTCAGGCCGAATATCAACGGCAAGCGGATACTCTCGGCTGTGGTCAATCTTTAGTGTCACAGCATCACCGACGGCAATCTCCTTGACGCCATAATCCACGCGGTCCATGAAAAACTTCACATCACCAACCTCAGGCACCCGTATGAAGCCGATGCCGTAATTCGTATCGATACGTCCCACGGCCCCGTGACGTCGCTCCTCCGTAAAGAGCAGAAGCTCCTTCTTTGGCTTGGGTCGCATAAAGTGGTTATTATCACTGCGCCCCTGCTGTGGCCCTTCAGTGCCATTTCTCCTTCTAACAAAGCCTGTAGAGGACCCTTTCAAATGCTTCTCCTGTAAAAGCTTGCACCGCTCAATCTCCGCCTGGTGGGCAATGAAGCGTGACATGATGCGGCCTTGCCCTGTACGCCCATGTCCACCAACAGTATCGTTGGCGTCCCTACCTGTTGTACTCGCGCCCAGACGTAGCTGATCACAATTCCGGCGAGTGTGTCCTTGACTTCTGCAGTGCCTGCACCAACGCTCCTCACGAAGGAAAAGCAAATCATTTTGAATCCACCACTGCAGCGCTCTCTCCTGCTCTTCAGTACGGGAGGGATCCATAAAAATTTCCCGCCAACGCTCCTTTTCATCCATGTGCATGTCCGCGTACTTGGACAAGGCAGGGTGAAAGCCCATGATGCGCAGAAACGTCCAGCCATTGCATAGAACGTCTTCTGGATCCGTCCAATCAATACAGGCGTTTTTCGCATCCGTCCACTCGTTTTCCAGCGCAATCACAGACCCAGCAGACTCAGGCATTCCTTCTCGGCCAGATTGCACCACGAAGAGACCTGATAAAGAGAGAAAAGGGCAAAGGAAGTTATTCCCTTTATTACTCGGTTTGCCCTTTCCCTACCTTCCTTTTCGTGCCCCTCTTTTTTTGTTCCCCTACCTCTTTTTCTCTTGTTAAGGTGACTCCAACCCGTGCAGAAGTAAGAGATTTGCAAGTTACCCCTTCAATGAGGCGCCCACGACGTTCAGGCCTCTCTCGGCTATGGAGGAAATTACAGTGAGAGAAAGATAAAGAGAGAGAGAGATAGAGAAAGTGTGTGTGTATGTTTGTTTGTGTTTGTGTTGTTCATCCCCCTTTGAAGAACGGTTCAACTCAGAATGCCACATGTGTGATGCTCACGAGGCAAACTTGTTCATGTGATGAGGCGCCACCTCTTTTTTTTTTGTATTTTTTTCGTTATATTTCAGGCACCTTGTCCTTCTCACCCTCCTTAACGTTGCCTCTCAATAAATTTCCTTCTTTGCCTCACTCAAGCTTCGTCCTGTCTTCAGTTTCCCTCCCGCTCCTGCTGCCTGTGCTGCTTCAAAAGTTTCTCTGAGAGAGCCTCCAACTCTGTGTCAGTTTCCTCCCAGTTTGGAATGATAAGCTTGGCGTTGTCAAGTTTCGGCATCTTTGTTAGTGGGTTGTTGCAGAGATCAATCGTCTTGGCTCGCGCCTTGCTCTCCGCCCCACACCACGTCTCGCACCAGAGCCACTCCTCGGGAAGGGAGTAAATCGGCACCTCCTCCTGCATGAAGTTGGGGAGGTCCTGGTCCAGGTTGGCCAAGCTGTTAGGGTCGGGGCTCAGCTGGCTGTACACCATGCGGTACTTGTCGCCACCCGCTATCGCCCGTAGCCGTCGCAGGTTAACGAGATAGATGGCACTGATGTGATACGGGCGCCCACGCAGATGCTTCATCCAAAATCCCTGATCCCAGAAACGAAAGTTTTTCGTAGCTTGATTCGGGTGTTTTCTACAGAAAGGCGTATACGCCGTCGGGGCACCCCCAATGTTCATGTTGTAGAGGTCGTGCAGATCCGCCTGAACAGTTTGATCGGCATCGACAAAAATGACGCGCTCTACATCCAGCGGAAACAAAACATCAAGAAAAAGAACTTTATAGGCCCATATGATGCGCTGCTTCTCTGTCTGTTTATGAAGCCACCAGGGCCATCGGTAAGTCACAAGGGCCACGTCAAAGCCATAATGCTTCGCCAACAAGGGTATAAGCGTCTTAAACTGGGGTGATAGAAAGTTTTCAATAAACCAGAACTTAATCCGAGTTGTATTTGCACCATGTATATCGGAGGACGTTTGCATAACGCTATGAATCATCATGCGTAAAAACCGCTCATAAAGGTGACCTGAGGCTACAGAGAAGATGTTAAGAGTTGGGTGCCTTGGTTTCCTTGTGCGTGGACCGCCTGGTGGCCAATCTGCGTGCTCGGGATATGCCGCTTCAATATCCTCCATCGTTATTTTCTCGCGGCCTGGTGCTTTGGAGACATCAAGTGTCAAGAATTTTCCGGTGAATGAGGAAATCACCACAGGAATGTTCTGCCCTGCTGTATAATTAAACCTATCGGAGTGTCGTTTGTTTAGTGCATCATTGACGGGAATTCCGTTGACCTGAGATATGTAGAAGGTCTCTGCATAGTCGCCCGGCTGCACCGTAAGATACCAAACACCAGGGGTACTCTGCAGCTGGAAGTAACCCAGAATGGCCATGGCAATGGTGTCACGGGTAAGGCCAGCAGAGGGGTTCGTATTTGTGGAGCGTATTAGCAGGGGCAAACCGCGTGCAGGAGCCGATCGTCCAGCCTCCCTTGCACTACCAGTAAGGAGAATCGAGTTAATGCGGTAGGTGGCATGTACATACTGCGAGGACGACGGCAGCTTGTCAAGAACAATGTTGTCCAGGTCGTACTTGGCGTCTAGCGGGAACACCGTCCAGCTCTCCGGCTCCTCGACGCCTAGCGTCAATAAATGTTGCGAGGGAAGTCGGTGAAACAATGCTGTCGGCGGCAGAACTCCTCCTACTCCGTCAAATCGCATCTCCAGTTCACTAACAAACTCGTAAAAATTGCGCATAGGCTTAACTGCCTGCTGTAGCGTGCCCATGTGCACGATGCAGGAGACGCCAAGTGGCGAACGTGTGACGTAATTGCACAGCGAGACAGGAAGCTGAGACTGCTGCGCCACGGGGTCAATAACAATCGTTAACGTGTGCCGTGGCTCCGTACCGGCGTTCACAGGTTGCACAACAAACGAAGTCAAACCGGATGTGGATGGCAAGCTGCGTTCCTCGTCCGTCGGAGAGCCACGAGCAACATTGCGCCTCCATAGTTCCTTAAGCGCAGCCACCTTAGAGGCGTAGAAGGGGCTGTCAAGGTCACTTTGCTGCAGCTCATCACTTAGCATTGTGAAGTTTACTTCACTGAGTGCCTCTGACATGGCCACCGCCAAGAGGAGCTCCTGTTGATCCGCCTCCTTAAAATCTTCCTCTGCAAAGCTGTCATCGTAGACGAAGCGGCGCCCATTGACATAGTAGTACACTGCCTCTTTGTCTTTTTTCTGTTCCCTTGCTAACGCTTCATCGGACCATGACAGCACCGTGGACGATGACTCAGCCTTCACCTGCGCACAGAAGCCATTCGAGACCCCACGCTGCGTTTGCAACTGAGCAGACAAGCCCGCATCAGAGACGTCTAGGAGCCCTTGGAGCTCAGCAGGGAATTCCACATTGGTAACCCAACTCTCATATGCCTCGGAATCATTCAGCTGTCTTGTCTTATTTTGTGCAATAATTTTTAGAAGAAACTCCTGGACCAATTGAAGCCGTTGGTTTACATCCTCCCCTTCTTTACGGCTCAGTAGAAGTCGCTCCAAATCTCCAACCAGTGTGCGGTGCTTGGCCTCCGTCGCCACATCGCAAATGACATACGTGAGACGGACATGCATGCATTTCTCCGTTTCATCTACACACTGTAAAAGGTTATTGGTGGCCTTCACAAGGGCGCTAAGGGCGGTGGCTCCCACGGGGGACTGAATGACCAAGACACTACTCACCAGCGGTGGCCGCTTTGACTTCCCAGGGGGAAGCAAAAAAGGCCAGTGATGCAGAAAGTCCAGAATGGGCTTCAGTGTCCAGTCCATGTATGTTTTGTCCTTGTAAAGAGCGTCATTGTAGCGTTCCCGCGCCCCACTCAAACGAAGAATAGCCTCGTAGAAATCGACGCTGTCAGCGTCAGTCAAGGCGCCGTTTTCTACTAGCTCACGAACATGTAGCAATTCGGTCAGGAAACCCTGACGAAGGGATTGCAACACATTTCCCCGAAACAAATTTCCATTAATGAGCGTGAGGGGAAATTTGTCTAGCTTTAGCTTCCGCAGATTCGCCTGTGTCGCTTGATAATGTTCCAAAAAACTTGGGTCCGTAATAATATCCATCACCCCGCGTTTCCCTGACAAAGCGAGAACATTCGCCGAGAAACTGAGTACCTCCTCCTCCTTAATGCTACCATGCTGTACCAAGGTAAACGATATGTCTGAAAGGAACTCCAGTACATCCTGCAAGTGTTCTTCCCCTTTCAGGAGTTCCCACACGGTTGCGGCAATAAACGCGGTAACACTTGAAAGCGACGGCTTCAAGTGAACAGTATTCCCTTCTGTGGAGACCGAAATTTGTGGCTTCCACTCGCTATCCGCAAAGACAATTCCAAAACGAATAGGCTGGTTGGATTGATCTAGTTTCAAGATTGTGGAAATGTCCTGAGCGCCTTCAGGCGTTGTGGGATCCACAACAGAAACGGCATGAATGAGGTTTTTACGTGGAATTGTGGGAATACCGTTGAGTCCCATCCGGAGGATAGCTCGGAGGGCTGAAGGCATGTAAACAAATCGAACGTCCTGCTCGAGGTTGTTGAGCCAAAGAATTTCCCGCTGGGGCATCCATACACGCAGCGCCGTGTCACCCTTCTCCAAACCATAAGACGTGATGCGCTGATTTGCGTTTCGCGTCAGCAACTTCATCACTTGATTTATTCCATCTTTATTGACCGAAACGAACCCATCGTCGTTGGCCGAGGGAACGCGGTAGCTGGTGAGGATCCGTTGCACACCTTCGTACAGTTCCTCATCTGCCTCCAGCTTTTCAAGCAGCGAAAAGAGATTGAAATCCGCGTTTGACACACGACGACCGTTCAAAAAAATTTGCGGTGTTCCTGAATGCAATACGCCCGCAAAGGCTAACAGCTCCTCCTGCATAGTTGTGTTCATTTTCTTGTTCACCGAAGCGCCCATTTTGGAAAGCTTGGATGCATAAAGTGGAAATTTTGTCATAAAATTCATCAAAACCCCTAACCGCTTCTCATTCGCTGTGTCCATCACCTGCTGTGCGGCTGCAATGCCCATGTACTGGGTTTCCCACATCTGAAAGTCCACCTTGACCTCATCGCGGTCTATCATGTCTGCAAGATACCCCGCAAACGTGGTCAACTGCAGCCTGAGCTGAGGATAGCGTTGAACTAAGAGAGCAATATTGAACCCACCAACGGTCCCAAGGCTCTCAGTTTCGCTTATGGTGTCCGCATCGTCAATATCCATCTCAGCCTCGTCATTCTTTTTTTCATTGATAACCTTGTACTCCACGTTCTTTAGGTCGACTGTTACACCATATCCTTGTACATGAAGCGCCTTTTCCCACATCCGTCCAACCACGGGAAGGTGTCGAAAGGCCAAGCGAACCAGGTGTAAGTGACGCTCCGCGACCTGAAGAAACCGCATTGTCTGCTCTTCTCCGACAACTCCGTAAAGAATGATAACGCGTCCTCCCATTGACCCTGGATGAATGTGGTCAAGACCGACGAAAATGGCAAACGTCTCGTCCTCTTTGCCTTCCCATGGTTTATCTGCAAAACCTGGGGCTGCCAATATCTCTTCAAGAAGATCTTCACTACAAACAACTTTTCCCGCAACGAGTACAAAGGGCCGCCCTTCAATGGAGCATCCACCAGCAAGTTTTCTCGCCGTTCGCGCCAGCTGCCAATGTGCCTCTACGGCAGGGGAGTACAACCGAGCTGCAAGTTTCATTTTTGCCAAGTCCACCTGAATGGAAGGCCACTTGTCCTTCAGCATCATATCCAGCAATACATCGCTCTGGGATTTTTGCGTCAGCCTTTGGGCCCCGCCAATGTTGTTCATAGCTTGAACGCGTTGCCACACTTCCTGTAAGCAGTGATAGAAACCACCACCAAGAGCACCGCGTGCCGCCACCATCTCACATCCTTCCTGCAGCAGTGGCGTCTCTGTCCATGGCGCCGTCACAGTGACTTGCACGCCCTTGCCTTCCACAGTTAGCGCCCCAAATAGAACCCAACTTACACCAAGCAGAAGCAGCGACGTGAGCGTTGCATCAAATAGCCTTATGGCTTTCCCCCACTCCCTGCGGCGGGCCGTGGTGGACATAATGAGGATAAAATGCTGGTACCTGTTATTCTGAGAATCTCTTGCCGCGGGAAAGTGGTCGTACAGCAGAGTAGCAGAGAGGTGGCACAGCGAAAAGACGGAGGGTAGAAAGAGAGACAAACGACAAGAAAAAAAAAAAAGGTATGAGAGGTGAAGGGCGACGGTGGTGCACCCACCGTCAGGCATACCGAGGAGGATAAAGAAGATAAACACGGAAAAGAGAGAGAGAGAGAGAGAGAGAGAGAGAAGGAGCCTAAAGAAGGGGAAAAACATCCATTGCAGCTCTCGTCCGCCAAGTGCGGATGTATGTTTGTGTGGGTGGGCAGGTAAGCACATACAGAACAAGTGAAATCAAATTGTCAACACTCACATGCACAAAAATCTCCAACTTCCTCACCCTAAGCTCAGCGTGCAGAAATACCACACAAAGAGCGGCGACAAAACAACAACAACCCAAAGACACATAAAACAGAAAAAAAACTAGTTCGTGCCGCTTCCTCCCGCTTCCGCTGTCGGACGATATCCGTGTGGCAAATAAAAAGTCTGCGCTTACCGTGTTAGCGGCATTAAAAAAAAACACACAAAGGCCGAATCCGCCACTTACGGATCAATTGTACCTCCCTTCGGCTCATATGCATCCATCCTGCACTCACACACCGTCATAAGAACATGTACACCAAAGCCATCTTTTTATCTCTTATCCCACTCCGCCATTCTCTTTAGTGGTTCTTTCCAGCACACAGACGCAAACTTTTTCTGTTTTCTCTGCAGCTTCTCTGTTTTCAAGCAGGTGGAGCGTCTCCACCCCACCATCACTGTTGCCATACAGAAGAAAAAAACTGTGATGCCGCTCGCGCGGCGCCAAAAACAGCCCCCATCGCTGACAGGTTGCACGCAATTACCTTCAGTACCTTCGAATTGCTTACGTAGCTGCCGTAGAACACCTCCGACTGCGCCACACTCACAAACACGCCACCCGTTGTCAACATGCAGAGCACCAGCACCTGAACTCGTGAGGCACATAAGTGCCGCGCCAGCAGTGGAGCAAGTGGCAGCAAGCACCCCATTGTGTAGCCAACGGCAGCAGGAAGTGCGGCATCCACCACAGCTTCCCTACGACATGGTGGCTCCAACCGAGAGTAGCCGAGCTCTTCTACCATCATGAGATTTGCAAAAGGCTCTCTGTGCCTTGCAAAGATGCGTGTGATCGTAAGAGCATCCCCCTCAGAAAGCCCCTGAGACTTGTAAATTGCCACCATCTCTTGAATCTCCCCTGCAAGGTGGTTCTCTATCTCCCAAAGTTCACGTTTCAGCTCAACATCGTACACAGTGCGTTCAAATGACAGTGCAAGACAAGCGGTGTAAGCAACAGCACCCCCGCCAGCAATGGATTGCAGAAGTAGTTGACCGGTAATCACTGTCGGAAAACCACATTTGTCATTCACATGCCGCAAACCGCTCGTGGCACCAAACACCCCAGCCGCTGTGACAAGGCCAGCAAAGGAAGAAAGAACAAGTGAACGATTTCGCAGAGCACTGTTCTTCCTGATATCAACATTAAAGTCCTCAAGCCTCCGATCATGCGACTCGCGTGAACGGTTGACGTCACCAAAGGCTCGACGAGCCTCCTTCAGACGCTCAGATTCGGGCATACCGCTAAAAATACGATCCATCTATAAATTACGAAGATCCACCCCCCTTTCGTTTCCTTCGATCGTACTTTTTGTATCCCACAAAACTCTCCCCCCGCCCCCGCCGCAATACGTTTATATTTGCCGTGAAGACGGTCGATCACCTCCACCTGATCGTGAAGGAAACGGAAAGTGAAAAAGGGGCAGAAGGGAATAGGCGCCGTCCGTCCGTCAACCCAGCAACAGAAACCATCGTAACGAAAGCAGGCGAATGCGTGGGTGAGCGTACGCTTAAAATCCACAAAAATAGGAAAAAAGGGAACAGAGAGTGTTTGCCACTCCCGTCCCCAACGGTTACCCGCTAACTGCAAACACGTACATGTCATGTATACATATAAACACACACACACACACAGGTGCACACAGTCAGGCGAACAATGAAATCACAAAAATTAGAGAGAAAGGCAAGCTTGGGAAAGGGAAAAAAGAAAAAACTAAAAACAATAACAAACTTACCGCAGATCTTCCTCCCTGAACCCCACCTCACGGGGATGTTGCTTAAGCCAGACACACATCCTATTGAGTGCATTTTCCATCGTCAAAATAGTTTCCTCACTCTCGTCAAAGACGTCAAACTCCAAGCGAAACGTACACAGTGCCTGATACATGGTTTTCCACGTCTCCATCACTTCATCATAGTGGGCTGGAGAAGGAATATTAGAAACCAACATCTCGCTCAACCTAGCTATAGTGCCACTCACACCAAGCGGGAGCCCACTTTGATTGGGCTGCTCACAGAATGCGGCAATTTCCAGACGAATAAGGAGTTGCTCCCGCACGTGCTTGTAAACGCACAAGATGTAGTTCAATTCCCCCACAGCATCCCGCACAGCTACCTCCTCGCCATACAGGTGTAACGTAGTTTTCAAGCAGTCACGAAGTTTCTCAACGTCCAGGTCCAATAACACCATATGCTCGTTCACCGAGTTGTACGGCCCCCGGATAGGTAAAAAAAAACGCTGCCACAATCGTTGAAGTGTAGCCCTGAATCCATACGTCAGACACTCATCGTGGTACTTCTCCAGCTCTGCCTCTATACCAGGAGTATTCTTCACCGGCGTGTACTTCTCTCCAATGGATTCCAAGTATCCTTCAGTGATCGGGGAACAGTTGCATGGTATATCACTCTGCAAATCTTCAAGTTCCAGCAATTCCATCGCAGTAAGTACCCTCGCAGCGTCCGCTACTTGACCCGAGTTCCCTTCCTCAAGTGAAATGATTATCGAGCAAAGTGAATTCCCCCCTGGACTCGTCATGGAAAAGGGTGGAGGACGGTCACCTACAAGAAAGTCAGTACACGCTGCCGCCACGTCTCCAGAGGCATTCAAAGGAACACATGCAGATGTCTTCACAGTGGTTGCTTCTCTCTCAGTTTCATGACTCGTCGGGGTACCACTTAAACTCTCCAACTGGATGGCCTCACGCCACCTCACAAACTCATCTGCCTGAAGGCATTTAAGCGTCATCCCCCGCCCACGAAACGATGACGGTGGGACAACGATTTTTCCTTGGGCTGCTACAAACATTACCGATAAACCTTGCAAAGGAACGCGTCGAAACGATGTTGGCAGAGCATTTTCATGCGTTGCGTAGAAGAGACCCTCACCCTTTCTTAGTTCAAACCATCGTTGAGCATAATATCCAAAGTGGCCACTTTTTTTAAATAAGACACCCCTCATTGAACAAGTGAAATCTGTAGTGAATTCATGTATCTTCCGCAATGAAGGGAGTGGCGACGCTGCAACATGGCTCGCATCAGCCTCCTCCTGTACGGAAGTAAATGGTGACAACTTCCTACAAGGAGGATCATCATTAGCCTTGCTTGCGGTGGAACCTGCAGCTGCTTGTATTAATGTTGCGATAATTTGCATCCATTCCTCTTTATCTGCATCTGAAGCAGCCCTCAGAACCGTTTTTTTGCTTCCACTACGGATAATAGAGAAAGCACCGGCAGCTTTCGTGCTGTCACGAACAACAACATTGGAATCAATCAGGATGCATAAAAAAGGGACGTTGCGATCGTTCACAAGGTACAGCGTACCCCCGATAGAGTTAGTGTCAGACGCTCCACCTGTCTCGAAGTGGAGAAAGGCATTGAAGCGGGTGAAGCGTCCAGTTGCCTTTGAAAATAGCCAAAGAGACCCTTGATGTAAGGCACAGGCGCTTGAGGGAGGTGCACCTTTGCATTCCACTTCCATTCATGCGTGCCCCTAATGATTTCCTTTTCCCACCGGCTAACGTCTCACGTCCACAGGGAGGGGCGTCCAAAGCCAGCAACAAAAACGGGGGGGGGAAAAAAAGCAAAGGACTGTGAAGAGGAAATGAAGGTCAGGACAGCAGCTGCTTTTCACGATTCATCGTACTTGTCGTACACACTTACGCAGGGCTGTGGAAGTCAGGATGTATTTTTTTCCCCCCCATTAATTTCCCTACTGCTAACAACATGGCCTCCCAAACCTAAACCGCAGTTCACATTTGTGGAATGTGTGTGCGTTCATAAGACGGGGAGTAACGATTCCCAGTTATTGTCATGTATTAATATTTTACGAATTGCAACAGGAATCTCAACCAGGTTAGGCGTGCCTTGAAACCCGTTGTATTGCACGTACACGTAACGAATGGATTCTGGGAGTTGGGTAAGATCAAGATCGCCACTGAAATTGTTATGACTTATATCTAGTGTCACCAGATTTTGTGGAAGGTGACCAAGGTTGATGTTTCCCCACAGGCCATTGTAGGTTACATTAAGCAGAGTGAGGGAACGTGGAAGACGACGCACAGGAAAACTACCAGCAAGAGCGTTTTTGCCGAGACTGATAACCTCCAGAAGTGAAGGTAGTTCCTCCCATGTCACGGACGAGATGCGATTGCAAGATAGGTCGAGGACGCGCAAGGATCCAAAATTGCGGAGTTGCCTAAGACTCCCATTCAAGCCACAGTCTCTTGCAATCACCTCTCGAATGCTTCCCGAGACGGAGTCCAAGGCAGCGGTCAATAAAGAAACTTCAGCGTCAATGCGGCAGCCGCTCAACTTAATTACATGTAGATGAGATGGCATGTGCGTAAGTGCCTTTAAAATATCTGAAACATTGGAATAACTGAAGTCAAATGAATGCACAGTGTTTGGTAGCGATTTCAATACTTTCGTCAGCGGCATGGCCAGCGTACAGTTCTGCATAATAAGCGCAAGAGGACTACTGGGAAGAGGTGAAGGCAAGGTGGTATTGAGCGCATTACCGCTAATGTCCAACTCCTGCAGAGTACTTCTACCAGAAAACGAGATGAAGCGAAGACCACAGTTCCTGCAGGCAAACCTCTTGAGAGTCTGGCTCCCATCGATCACTGCGCTATCTGACGTAAATGTGACGTTGTCAAATACCAGGGAGGTTAACCTTGACAAGGAGCCACTTATCTGGAGTTGCTGATTCAATGTGCTGGATTCTACCGTTACTGAGTGAACGGTGTTTGGTAGGTGATGGAGGTTCAACTTCCCGTTCCTCATGCCACTCACCGTAAGCTCTGTCAAATCGTCCTTCACACATTTTACAATGCTGAGGTCGCAGGGGGTGAGGAACTGTCCCGATGGTCCCAGAAACGACCCATTTTTGTTCCGCTCCCAGATGTGTTGATGGAATTCACTATCCTCTATGATGCGAAGGAAACATTTCCAGGTACTAGCCCACTTCAGTTTTTCTTCCTGCGTCAATTTTCTCTCAGTGGCTGGCCTTATCCATTTAAACTTCAGTGCACCCTCGGCTCCGCCGGTAGCACCGCAGAGGACGGCCAGCACAACCACATACACGGCAGTAGCCACATTCATCGTTTGTTGCCTGCTGTGGAAAGGATGCGTAAAAGACCAACGAAAGAAAGCAAAAACCTTCTCCCCCCACACACACCCACACCCACAAAGGAGACATCAAAAGGAGAGAAAAGAGTCACATTGGTATTCTGCAGCCAGTGTGGTGAGACGCGACACATCACAACCCTCTCACCTTCCTTCTCCCCCACATGATCCCCCCTCTACAGAGCGACCGATGTAAATGGGTGGGAAGTGAAAGAAGAACATGCGAGCCGCAAAGAAAAAACACAACAACAACAACAACCCAAAAAATAAAATAAAAAGAATAATGGAAATTCCTCTACAAATTTCCATTTCTTTCTATCTTTTCCACCCCACCTCACCCTCCTCTTCGTGCCCAATCCAGTTCGCATCCTAAATTTTGCCAAGGAAGGCGCTGTGAAGCATATTCCATGCGCTTTCACGGATGGTGTGGAAGAGCGTCACGACGTCGAGTGTCGAGGTGAAGCCATCCGCAAGACCGAAGAAGAGCATGGAGGGAATGTTGCCTCGTGCATACTCCAAGGCCCAACATGCATTCGGCATTCGATACTGCTTGGCTGTATGCCTGGGGAGATAGTGCTGGTCACCTGGTTTGTACACCTCCGCCTCCGCCACGCGTGGCAACGATGCCCATTGCTCCCCATAAAGAATTGTAAAAAAGTCCTCCGCCCAGTGATAACGACCGGTGTGACCCTCTGTGCCGAGGGAGGTACCAAAGATAATAAGATACTCTGAGAACGAGGAATGCAGCACCGTCATGGAGCCCATCGCTCCACCGGCGTTGTTCCACAACCACCTGCCGGAGTACGAGGTATGGAGTGGGTACGTTTTTATGACCTCTTGAATGACACTCTCAACAACTTGTTCCGCTGTGACGTTAACGCCGTGTTTGGCGTGGGCTGCCTCAATGCCACTATTGGCGATGACCTGAAGTGTTTTTGGGTCCAACACCCAGTTCTCTGGACGGTCGATCACGAGGGACAGGGCAACCACCACGACTGCAACAACAAGAAAGACGAGACACTTCATTAACGCTTTCTTCTTGTTTTATTTTAACCTCCTCTCTTTCCGAGTTATCCTGGACTTGTGTGCCGGAGCAATAAGCTTTCGCGCGCACCTTCGTTGCCTCTCGATAGATATGGTTACTACAGATTACGTTCTAAGGGACCAAACTTGGTTCACGGAAACAGACTGAACAGCGAGAGGTAGTGGCAGAGGCAGCAGACAGGGGCGGCGCCATTCACCCACACAAACAGACAGACAGAGTCAAAACAAAAACAAAACATGAAAGGAGGCGATGAAGAAACAAAAAAAAAAAAAAACAGCGTTACTTCCGGCGCTGGGGTCGCAAATATATGTAAAAAAGAACATGCAAGGAAGCTGAACGCCGACGTACCGCCCATCAGGTAATAAATAACAGACAACTGGAATGCGAAAAACGGGGCAACTTTTGCCTTTCACGCATGCATCAATTCAAATGGTTCCACTGACGCACACAAAAGTCGGCCCCACCCGAAAGCAATCGCCCATCCGCTGTCCACGCAACAGCCGACACACCGCCACGGTGCGCCGCGTCCTCTGTTTTGCGCGTCGCCTTGTTGAGGTCCCATACGATAAGCGAGGCGTCCATGCTGCCTGAAAGTAGCAGTGCGCTGCTTTGGGGTGCAAAGGCTAGTGAGGTTACACGCAGGGTGTGAAACACCAAATCCTGATAAAGCACAGCACCATCAACTGGGGACCAGACAAAAATGTTTCTCGTGGCATCCCCAGAGGCCACACGCTTCCCGTCCCTCGAAAAGGCCACGCAGGCAACCACACCCCTGTGATGCCCAGCAAACTGCACGCACGCCACCGGTGATGCACCTGTCTTGACACAATATCCTTTCACCAACGCATCACCCCCCAACATGACCAGGCTACCGTGGGCAGCCGCGCTGGTGCCGTCAAACCTACCCAGTTTCTCCTCCGCAACTTTGCACCCCGACGCGTCAATCACAACAAATCCATGTTTAAACAACATCACCACATTTTTATCTTCTGTGATGGCTAAGGCGGTAGCGTTTGCCGCTTCTCTTGAGAGAAGGGTCGGCTCGGTGTCCGTCAGGGCACAGCGCAGCAGGTCTGTACCAGACACAAGATACAAATAATCCTCAGTACAGGCCGCGGCAGTCACAAAACTTGAGGCAATATACACTTTGCGCGCGTTAGCAGAAAATTTATTTTGGAATCTCCACATTAAAGCCCGATCAACACTGACAGAAATCATAGTTCCATTTGAATACGAACGCAAAAGCAATATTCGTCCCTGGTGTCCTGATAACACACCTTTGATATTCCCTTCTTCACTGATTAATGTCAGTTCACCACCAAGGGATATTGAGCACACTCCCTGCGGGGTATACACCACTCCCTGTTGCATATTCATGACATCGGCTCCAAAGAAACAAGAGCGCAGCATTACACCCGTCGCGGCGTCAAAAATTTTGACGCTCTTGTCAGCGCTGGCCGTGGCAAGTTCACTTCCATCTGGACTCCATGCAATAGCGTAGATAGTACCTGTGTGCCCCGTTGCAATAGATCCCTTTTGTTCTGCTGTTTTACCATCAATAAGTATGATATCGGACGATCTCGAAACTGTCGCAATCGTCTCCATGTCCGGACTGTACCGCACACACGTTACCTTGTCCTTATGACCCTTTACATTGCACTTAAACGTGAAGGGAACACCTTCATAAAACCCCACAGCGGAGTCTGCGCCTCCTGTCACAATGCGGTAGGGACGCTCTCCACGCATGTCACAAGAGAGAACATTTTGCGTGTGACCATTGATGGTGCCAATCGTGTTGCCCGTGATGCTGATGGCGGTCGCAAAATGACTTTTCCCATCGCCCACCACCACCAGCCGCTCCTCGTCGTGCGTCCACGCAATATCCCGCACAGGGCCTTGTAATTGCTTCATGTTCAGCACCTCCTGCGAGTCAGGCTGGCAAGTCCACACAAGCACGTTTCCGTTTTGGTCTCCAGATGCTACCAAATTCCCAGACGGGCTGATTCGCACCGATGTAACCGGGGACGTGTGTCTCCCGCCGATTATCACCGTCCCCGGTTCCTCCAGTTCGCGAACCACCACAAGGTTGCCGCTTCCGTATGCAAGGACGTTACCAAAGACAGAAAGGGGGGTGGTAACAGCCCGTGTGGTGGAGGGGGCACCCGGCAGGGTGTTATGCAGCAGCAGCTGATGCAATGACATCACTGAGACTTGTGGCTCTTACTTCCTTAAAGAGGTGAATAAAAGTCGAAGGAAAAGAAAGAAAGAGAGAATCCAATAGCCTCTTGGTTTCTTCACTCTCTCCACTGCTCGCACCCCATCTCGCCATTTTCTTCACGGCATTTACCAGTGCGCATGTGGTACCACGCTGGCAATGAGAGCCCACGGCTGACAAAAAAAAAAAAAAAAAAAAAAAAAAAAATACCTTCTACGCAACGGCAGTGGTTCCGCCTCCACCCCTCGACCGCACTAACGCGCCAGTACCCAAACAAACACCAACAAATAATAAAGGCAACAAGCAAGAGACTGGTAACCTTCACGCCATATGGGTCCCTATAACTTTCCTCGCCCCGCAGAGGCTTTTCCGACCTTTTTTCTTGGGGGCGGGGGAAGGGGAACGACACTATTGCGCTTCATCACAGTGGCGCTTTCACGTTCGGTAATCGGCACACAATTAGGAAATTGGTAGCCACAGCCATCGTTCAAAGCGTGTTACATTAAACAATCAGAAATCCACTTATTTTCCTCAAGAGAGGAAGGAGGACGAGGAAGCGATTTCCACAAAGGTGAGTGGTGAGTAGGAGTACTTATGCATATATTTCACAATGAGTAACAGTTAAAAACAAACAAGTGAAGAAAAGAAGAGAAAGTGTGCGCGCCACACCTTTTTCCCTGAAACACCACAGAAGTAAGTACGTGTGGAGCAGTTGCGCCACAAGAGAAATCCAAATAAATGGAAAACGAAAGAAAGAAAAAGCCCACGCAATGCAAAGCTAGTCCAAAAAAAAAAACGACTTAAAAAACAGAGGAAAAACAAACCATTGCATGGTATCAACGTTTTATTGTTAAATTGCCCTTTTGTTTGTTTGTTTTTTTCTTTTCCTTTTTGGTTTTCGTTTATTTTTATTTGTTGCGGGCCAGCAGTAGATGTTACATACATTCTTCTCTTCAGTACGGGCGTTGGTGGGCCTCACTGGGAGCGTGAGGAGAACGCCGCATAACGCATACGCGTAAGCACAAATGCAAGTGGCAATTCCGCGCCCCATTAATGTGGAAGTGGTGCAAAGCCGCCGATGAGAAAAGAAATACAACACAAAACTACACCCCGCAGCAACACCATGCAATGCTAGACAGGAAAACACACGCACAATACAAAAAAAAAAAAATATTTTTATTCTTAAAAACTTCTAGTTAATAGAAAGCACAAAAAAAAAGTATGCAATCCATATATACTTGTATACACACAGGCACCAACAAGAGTGACTAGTGGACAAAAAGTGAAAAAGAAG